TCCCCGAAAAACTCAGCGAGGACTAGGATGGGATGGGATAACAGGATTATTATCCACGCGCTTGCTGTTTCAGTATGGGAAGAAGATCTGTTTTGAAGGTATGTGGTGATGGTTTATTCATTGGTGCATTGGTCGAGTGCAATTTGCTAATTGTGCGTGTTTTAAAAGGTTTCGCGATGTCTGGACAGCTGCCATATATGTTCCGTCTGGCAGCGGCCAATGCCCATGAGCAACGTTCACTGGGAACCACGGAGACAATTCAATTCGACTTCTCCTTTATCTAAACCTCCCGTGGGTGCGGCGGCAGCTGTCGAGCAGTACAAAGACGACCTACCCACCCAACCGGTTTCAACAACGAAGCCCGTTTTCGGTAATGGTAAAGGTGTTGGCGGAGGATTTGCCGGAGGAGGTTTTGGCATCGGTCTATTCGGTGGAGGTTTTGGCGGAGGGTTTAACACACCCATTTCTTCTCAAGAAAGCATTCTTACTACTGAAGAAACCAAACAGCGGGATGCGTTGAGACGGAAAATGGAAGCTCAGAAACCGCCCGCACCGGATCGGACTAAACAGAAATCCCCATTAATCCGTCATGTTGATTTTGTGACTGACTCATGCGCATATACTTTTGCTAAAAATGCGGGGCTTACCGAAGAGGAACTCAGACAACGAGATATGATGAGGCAGAAAACGGTAGTACAGCCCACAAGATTCGTTCAGAATGCTCAAACTGAAACCGTTTACACCAACCCCACACCCTCTTCTGATGTGTCTGATTATAAGAGAATTAGCTGGAATTGCCGGAACTGCAAGCACCTGAACCCTTTACCCAGTAGGGTCTGCCCTCGGTGCGGTATACCATCAAGACTCCCAATTCGACATAATCAACCTGACTGTTCCAGCACTACATCACTTACAGATGCTGTAAACGTGGTTAGCCGTGAAGCATCCGGACCATTGATAATACGAAGAGTTAGTACACCAATTTCTCAGGACGTCGATGCATCACCTACGAGAGCGGAGCGTTCATCTAATGTGTTTTCGGGGTTCCGAAAGGGAAAGTGGTCTGAAGAACAACAGCAGAAGGAAGAGTTTATTGAGGCTGAGCTTTCTAAATTAACTCCGACTCCGGCTTCGGCTTTCGAGAAGCAAAATCCAGAGAAGGGGGGGGAGGTAGATGAATTGCTTGCTTTGGAAGTTGATCCACAGGCGGCAGCGGAGCTGATCGTGGAGTCAAAGCCAAAGAGCACCAAAAAGAAAGGGAAAAGGAGGGACGAAAACGGTGACGATGGTGGAGAAGTCGTACGTACTTCGAACGACCTGGACTATGATCGCGAGGTGGAACGTCTTCAGCGCCGTCGACTCAAGGAACAGAGGAAACAACAGGCAAAGGAAGCGAAACGGGTAAATGAAGCCCATCCACCAATATACTTACCCGAATTTATTACAGTTGGAAACCTTGCAGATGCGTTGGGTATCCGACCAGCAGATTTCTTGGTACGCCTGTCTAATTTTGGGTTTGAAGAAGCAACATACAATCATATCCTAGATGCTGAAACAGCGGGGTTAATTGCGTCAGAGTTCAATTTCAATCCCATAATCGAGGACGCTGGAAATGATCTGGTGGCCGCACCACCTCCACAGGATACTGCAAATCTAAAACCGCGACCCCCTGTAGTCACCATTATGGGCCACGTTGACCATGGGAAGACTACCCTTTTGGACTGGCTCCGCAAGTCATCAATTGTATCGACTGAACATGGAGGGATTACGCAGCATATTGGTGCTTTCTCTGTAACAATGCCGTCTGGGAAAGTTATCACATTTCTCGATACACCTGGGCACGCAGCTTTCCTTGATATGCGTCGACGAGGGGCCAACATTACAGACATTGTCATTCTTGTCGTAGCCGCTGATGACAGTGTGAAGCCCCAAACCATTGAGGCAATCAAGCATGCGAAAGAGGCTAACGTTCCCATCATTGTCGCCATAAGTAAAATTGACAAGCCAAACATTAGTGTGGAAAGAGTCAAACAAGATCTCGCCCGCCATAACGTCCATGTTGAAGATATTGGTGGTGATGTTCAAGCCATTTGTATCAGTGGCAAAACTGGCGAAGGCATGCTTGATCTTGAGGAGGCTACGGTGACATTGTCGGAAATGCTTGACCACAGAGCTGAGGTAGAAGGCAAAGCTGAAGGATGGGTCATCGAAGCAACCACAAAAAAGCACGGCCGGGTTGCTACTGTGCTCGTAAAACGTGGAACCCTAAGGCCAGGGGACATCGCCGTTGCTGGTACTACCTGGGCAAAAGTAAGAACGTTGAAAAATGAAGCCGGTGTTTTAATCAACGAGGCTCTTCCGGGTACTCCGGTTGAGGTTGATGGTTGGAAAGAACAACCTCAAGCTGGAAGTGAGGTTCTCGAGGCGGAAAGTGAGCAGCAGGCCAAATCTGTTATTGAGTACAGGTTAAGCAAGGTGGAGACCAAGAAACTGAGCGAGGACATTGGCGCTATCAACAAAGCTAAAAAGGCAGACCTTGAAAGACGGAGACAGGAGTTGCAAAGCGAGGAGGATGAAAGAGTCAGCTCTGCTGATGCTGATTCCGGTCCGAAAGGCATACCTTTCCTCATCAAAGCTGATGTATCAGGCTCTGTGGAAGCGCTGGTCAACTCAGTCTCTTCCATTGGCAACAATGAAGTATACGCGCGGATCCTGCGGTCTGGTGTAGGCCCAATTGGAGAATTTGATATCCAACACGCTGCTGTGGCACAGGGTCACATCATCACCTTCAACCTGCCAGTGGAACCAGCAATGGCTCGAATGGCAGAGGCTGAAGGCGTCAGGATCTTGAATCATAATATCATCTATGAGTTAATCGATGATGTCAAGTCGAAACTTAGCGAATATCTTCCACCCACCATCACTCAACATGTCACTGGAGAGGCAGAGATCGGTCAGATCTTTGGAATATCAGGCAAAGGCCGCTCGAAAATCTCTATTGCTGGCTGTAAGGTACGGAATGGCCTTATTAGCCGTCGTCATAAAGTCAGAGTGCTTCGTGACAAGGAAGTCATTTACGATGGTTAGTTTTATCTTCCACCACACTCTCTCCCGTAACCATCAATGCACATAAACTAAATTGCCATGTCTAATGATTTTATTTCTTCGTATTAGGTAACATTTCGTCCCTCAAGAACGTCAAGAAAGACGTCACAGAGATGCACAGGGGCACTGAATGCGGCATCGCCTTCGAAGACTGGAACGACATTAGAGTCGGTGACCACGTCCAATGCTATGAAGAAAAGTCCGAAAAGAGGACGTTATGAAATAAAAATGACCCTTTCTTCATGCTTCCCCGTGCCATCTCAACCCCGCCATTCGTTTCTTTTAACATCACTTCTTCATATTCAAACACATTTCTTCTTCCGTTTTAATGCGTCTTACCTGAACCCAATGAATTTTCTTCCGTTTTGTTTCTCAGGAGTCAGTAACATTAGATTTATTCGCGCGCGGCTCAATCGTCTGAAATACTACATCACTTTGTCCAACTACCTAACCCCCAATTTTCGCCCTCCCATCTCCCCTCATACCTTCTTCACTTTACCCAACCTCTCTGATTCGTTATACATACTTATATTTTCGTTGCATTGCATGTATGAATCTGTGATATAAAAAGGGAAAATTACTTCTTCTGAGTGGTGAGGTTGATATATGTTAGTAAATATGTTAGATAGGATGGGATCTACTGGATGGATATTAAAGGATTTCATTTTAACAGACGACAGGGAAAAAAAAATGATTTCATATTTCATGTCTATGAGAGTTGTTGGATTTTTTTCTGTTAATGGACTGCCAAACAGTTTGGAATAGATGCCACCATTGGAAATCAAGTACAGGTTAAACAGACAGAGGAAGGGAGGGCTCAGCAAGTAAATACAAGGGTGTTCTAGAACTAGAGGGATGATGAGTCTATTACTAGCTTGAGAATTGTAGAAATTTTGCGTGTACTTTTGAATTAAAGTCTTAAGGGAGAGATGAATAGAAGGGATATTGGGAGATAGAGTGGGAAGAGGGTTGTGTAAGATGGAAGCAGAGAACCAACAATGTAGGTTGCTAGCACATAGGCATCTCAAAAGGATATCTGAAAGAGTCCTTTGCTGCCACAAACATAAACAATCATTCTCTCAACACTTGAAAATACAAAGAAAGGCAGCAATAGGAAAAACATAGCAGGAAGGGACCAAGAGGAGATTAAGGAAATAAGATGGAAACAAACAGCGTCTCCCACAATCTAGTCAACTCCACAACAACTGTCAATCCAGCTATCGTAACAGCAATTATCCCTTGAGGCCTCCATTCGCCATTGTATCCACATATCTATTCTTAGCAACTTGATTTCCACAGGTAACTACATATATTCGGCTATTTGGTCTTGAATTCTAACCTAGGAGTCCTTGCCCTTTTCTTTTCCCTTCCCTACTCCTGGAGCTGGAGCAGCTGGAGCTTTACCACTAGCGGATGCTCTGGAAGAAGCTCGAGTTTGACGCGTTGTCTATACAATAGTTAATATTATTGATAGATAACAACCATTACTTTCAAATCAGGGTTCAAAACTCACGGTCGTTTGCTTAGCACCTTTACCGCGGACACGCGGAGTTCTGCGCTTTTTTGGGGTTTGAACTTCAGGAGGTGTTTCAACGTTCCCAAACAGTGAGTTAACTGAAGATGCCACCTCTTCATCAGATACGGGATCCGGGGCAAATGAAACAGTTTTGCCTCCAGCAGTCGGTCTCTCTGGCTCGGTGGAGGAAGCTGACTTTTCCAATTCTGCGGTTGCAGCTGGAATTTGCTTTTCCTTTGCGGGAGCACGACGCTTGCTAACACCTGCGGGAGCCTTTTTTGCAGGAGGGGCTTGACGAGTTAATCGACGCTTTGGAGGGCTTGGAAGGACCTCAGGAATTACAGTTTCGATAGATGGAACTACAACTTCTGGAGACGACTCTGAGTCCGATGGTTCTTTCACGGCTCCGGGCTCCGGGCTTCCGGAAGCTGTCGTAGAAGGAGATGGTGAAGAGGAAGATGGTGAGAGTGGTTCAGGGGAAGTGGATGGTGGTGGCGGTGAGATAAGATCATCATCAAGAGATACAATTACGTCGAGACGTTTGATAGCGTCTATAGACAGGTGATGCAAGTCCTGCTGTCCCAGCCAAAAGACGTCGAACGTGTTCGTTAGAGCGACCTTCCAGATATCAGCACAAATAAAGAGGATTTTGGCAGAAATTAATAGTATGTAATGAAGTGTATTATTCCAAGACAACATACCATGCACATCCAGCCCATTCGAGTTTTCAAAAGGAAATTTCCCTTTCTCAACCTCCTCCAGGACCTCCATTTCAATCTTGGCTCTGGATATCTCATCAAGTTTGTCGTCTCTGATACGGTCAGTTATCGTTCGATTGGCATGTGCAACGTAGAGCTTAACGAAGAGGAGATTCTAACTCCACGAAAGAAAAGCCCCAAGTCAGCTTCCTGAACATATGATCTTTGAATTGATGACCGGCGAAGATTGGATGTATAATCTTACGCATTCTTGAGACATCTTCAGAGATTCCACGCAATTGAAGCATGTGCAAGAACGAAGCCACAAACCTGAATGGGGTTTGTATAGTTGGAGAGATACTTTCCTCTGTGTGTACACCAGGTACTCACGGGGAGCAAGTAGATATAGGGAAGAAGAGTTTGTCGACCGGCAACAGGGAGATAAATCTCGAGATGCAACTATTTTTGGATTAGAAGGAAGAAATGGGTAATAAAGGAGACGGTAGATTCAGTGTTTGAAATCTAGGAACAAAGGAGATGAACGATTGGAAACAAGGGGAAAATATATAGAGGAAAGGAGACAAGAGAGGGAGATATACATGCCCCTCCAGCAGTGGACTATGGGATTAGAAGAAGTGGCTGCATTTCTCGAAAAACTCCTGGTGAAAGAGTGAAATATAAAATGACTAGGGAGTGTTATTCGAACAGGGGCACTGATATACTGAGATAACAATGGCTTATATGTAAAATATGAAACAGGATGAATGGCAATAGTCAAAATTTAGCCCTTTATGAAATAACAATCAGCCCAATCGCTCGCTGGCAAAAGTTCAACTGCCATTGTCTTGCACTTGGTGGGTGTCGAAAGTGTGTTGTGAATGAATTAAAGGGAGAAACCGTAGCAACGCTTTCGGGAACAACACATTGCAAAGTAATCCAATGAATAAGCGGAGACCAATTCGTCTTTTAAAATTAGTCATTGGTAATTCCGACTGTTTCTGCAAAATAAAATGCGATATCCCAAGAGGGGAAAAAAGAGTGGTATAGAGAATGCAAAAAAGTAGAAAACCAAGCCAATTTTATGTTAAAGAGGCAAGCGTACGAAACTGTTGTTGAACTTTGATGAAAGGCAGAGGAAAATGAAGCTCAAGGGCAAACTCCATATGCAAGAAGCCACAACGTTCATCTTGCTTTCCATCGGATTCTAGCGACCCATTGGGCCCAGTGCCGTACATCCTCCCGTTGCAAAATCCTCTCGACAGTATACCATTCCTTCGCCAATTCCTCGTTAGAAGCCATGCGATGAACGAACGAATGACACGCTCTACATAGCCATGCAACGCTATCCAACATCCATTCGTCGTGCCACTTTCTTTTGAGCACCTTGTCATGCACTTCTCGAGGTATCAAGTGGTGATAAGTTAAGGGAACCCAATCTCGGTCACATATTTCACAGGCGCTGGCCCGCGTGGCAGACCATTTAGGAGGACCAGCCACCGCGGCAGCGATATATCCAGTGAGTATTGGATTCAGGAATGACGTGAATTCGGAGGCGTCTGGTATGAGGCCGTATACTGTGAGTGATTCAGAGACTGATAACGGTACTGCTGCGGTTAGGCTGTCCAGTGCTGGGACGGGCAGTGGCTCAGCGTATTTTCCCGCAAGACCACTATTCCCTTGAATGGTGGCATAAGAGAGAGATTGCGCCTCCTCTGGCAAGGAGTTGAAGGCCTCTCCAGCAATATACTAATTGGACTCTCAGTAGATTGTTCTTGTATAAAATTTTGTATATGGAGGCATACGTCAATGAATTCGGCTAGATCTTCTGGATCATTGGCTTCAAGCTCCAGCAACGAAGGCTTTCCAGAGTCTGCCGGTAGCGAAGACGTCTTATTTTTCCGCCGCCGGGGAATATTTGAAGGGTTTTGGGCTGATCTGTGAATCAGGGTCTGAGAAACAAATTCTCGAAAAATTTCGTAATTAGGATTCTCCACGCTGGTTCTACCGTCCATTGTTGGCGAGTGATTTGGGACTGACACCCCTGAAATATGATCTGCAGTTGAAGGCCGATTCTCTGGTATTCCGTAGTTAAATAATATATTGATAGTCTCACATGAAAGTATTTTATCCCTAACGTCTTCAAGTTGAAATTGACGAAAGCAGTTTTTTTGATCTTCCCCGCATTCATATATAGTTAAGCCAACCAATCTAGGCTGCATTCACCCCCTTCGCTCTAACGTCAACGCCTATTGATATCATTGACGAATAGCACAAGCCTTTATTCTACCCTGATTGGGGTGAAATATGGCATCGATATATAACACCGTCTTTGCTTTGATCTGTACGGTACGTGCTGTTTACGGAATCCACCACACAGAAGCTGGCAGGGTACATTGACAAGGGCGCGGGCAAGTCCATTACAGTTACGGCAACGAAATCAACTCGATTACACTTGGAGATCAAAATTGGATGAATATAACACGAATCAGGGGGTGCTCAAGCAAACATTCAACAAACGTGTCTCTTTGGGATAACATAAGACGCTCTCTGAAGCGACCAAAAATTCATTACGACATGCACTGGATGGACATCAAGTTGATCTTCACCAAAATTCCAAGAAGCTCATGGACGCCTACAATTCCCTATCTGTGATGCTAGGCGTTCCGCAAGCCCCGGCATTATTGCAGACAACCCAAAGTTGATCTTAGGTATATTTTCCAACAGAACCCTTTCAACGGGTTCGAACTCAGCTCTACAGTCCAAATCTGCTGCCCCGGATATCCTAGGATATTCCGCCATAGTATACTCATCAGTCCCACTACCAAGAAATATTTCAGCCAGCGCCTGACGAGTATTGGTATCTAGCAGATAACGAAATCTGGGTTATTGGTAAAAAAAAAAACCCCTTCGTTATCAGGGGCGCAATGAGTGTCGGAATCCTGCTGGGATTGACTGGGCGGTGCTGATGAGTTCCGATACGAGGAACGGAGACGAGATGCCCACAATCATGGATTTTAATTAAAGCACAGACAGCATCTGTTCTCAGCCATAAAAGCAGGAGAAACGGGAAAATGTGGTTTGTAGCGCTGCTAATATTTCCAAATTGCTCCATGTTGTAGAGTTGAACATTCGGGGTAAGTAACCAGCGGTCTCCATCATTCTCCCCTCCACTTTCCCCTCTGGTAGTCCATGTGGAAGGAAATCAGAGTGAATATGAAGGGATGTAAGTTTTATGTGGGGAGAGTAAGAAAAGGAGGAAAAGGAGATAAAATAGTTCCGGCTGGGGGAGAGATTTGTGTTGTAGGCGAAGTTGGCGGGTCTTGGCCGGCCTAACCGGTTCTGGCGCTCTGTCTTACTTGAGGATAGTGTGCAACTGTCGTCCTGATCTCATACCGAGAGGTAAGTCAACACCACACAGTCCGATATCAAACATGGGAAAATTCTCACCTACGCCGATGCATAAGGAGGCCACCTATATGCGGGTTTATAAGGATGAATCTGTTCTTTAGCCTGAGCCGTGCATCTTGGCTCTATCCCTTACGAGTAAGCACCAACCAACCAACCCTCAACCCCCTCCCAGCTGCTGCGTCATCATACTGTCTGTGTTCACCAAGACCCTGAATTAACATGCTACGTGTCTCCAGGGCATAAAATTCTTCATATTCCACCCTTATCTGTGGCCTCTGTTTCGCGCGAGACTCCTGTCCATATCTCTTCTTTCCGCATTCATTTATTCCATTCTCTTCACCCTCGCTTATCTGCCACAAGTAGCCTTTCTCGCCATCTTTCACGGCAGTGGCGCATGGGTGAATGGCCTCTTCCTCGTGCTAGGAGAGGGTGCTGTCATTGTCCAGATTCTCTTTGAAGCCTTCTTCGTCGACGAAACGCTTGTTGATGTTTTCGATGCCGTTCTGATAAGTCAGGGCGAGGAGGACCTCGTCGCTACCTCACGAACTGTATATCCTTCCGTAGACCAAAGTCAAGGCGGGGATGGGGATGGTGACGGTAACGGCAACGGGGATGCTGCTCTCTCGCGCAATCCGAAGCAAAGATTAGGTAAACCGATAATGAGTGCAGTATATGCACCTTTTTCCCTACGGCAGATTGTGGAATACATTGTTCTCCTGCCACTTAACTTTGTCCCCGTTGCTGGAACGCCGATGTTCCTAATTCTTACCGGCTATCGGGCGGGGCCGTTGCAACATTGGAGATATTTCGAGTTGAGAGGGTTTAATAAGAGTGAGAGGAAGAAGTTTGTGGTGAAAAGGAGATTGAGATACACGTGGTTAGTACTTCACATCTAACCTTCCATCTCTCCCCAGACTCGTCTTTCATTTCTTGTTATTCTTTCCACAACTGCTTGCATGGCATTTGATCTGTGTGCCCGCATATACATCTGCATAACCATGATCTTTTGCCTTGTTTTATCCTTGAATATACCTTACGCATATATTCTCTTTATTTATGACCACTTCCTTGCATCAAATTTTACCCCCATATCTATGATCCGACTAGATAGCGCACTAAACGCTTCCAATCTTAACTGGGATACACCCACAGGTTCGGAACCGTTGCTTTAATTCTCCAGCTGGTGCCCATGCTATCCATGTTTTTACTCCTCACCACAGCCGCAGGGTCAGCCCTCTGGGCCGCCGATCTTGAGCGGCGTCGAAGAATGGCTATCGAGCGTGCGGAGGCGGTCCGCACTAGCGGATATCGAGCTCTTCCGTAGTTTTATAACGGGCTCGGAATTTTTATTTTTGGAACTTTTCTCTTTGGCTTTTCGGGTTGATGGAGTTAAACTAGCATATGTAGGATATACATGAATAGTGACTACTTCCTACTAATCACGTCATGCAGAGAGTATCATAGACTATGAGCATCACCCTTTTCGATTTCTATGTATCTTTCGGTATGAAGAAGGGTATCTATAATTCCGTTCTCGGAATCTTTGGATTTTTGGACTAATATAATTTTTATTTGTTGCCATTTTAATTTTATTCGAATCGAAGTTAATACATATACCCCAGATCAAAGACGATATCGTGTGTTCGAAAATCATTCTAATGGCATAAGCAAGCCATGACTAAACATAAATATCTCTCAGGGGACAATGCGGAAAAGTGGCGTATGTATGAATCCTCCCTCCAAACACAAACCGCTCATATGCTGCCAAAACCAGCCAGAACATGGGACCTGCCTCTCATACTTAATTCGCTCTAAGCCCCGTCCAAACAATACGGAACTCTATTCATAAAAGTTGATATAAGGCCTTTGTGATGACATGGCCCAACCACGCGCCGTTTGTCGTTGTTCAAACTCCTACCATGAAGGATCCACTCCACCAGCGTCACTATAACTGCCACCACGTCCACCTCCTCCACTAGCAGTGCCAGCTGGAGGAGAAGGTTCCGGATGTCACTTTTACCTGGTGATAGTGGAGGGTTCTGTGCTTTTGATGACGCGGTTCTTGACACCTCTTGCGTTGGTAGCTTTTGTGTGGGCCGGCTGATGCTGGGCCATCTCTGCTTGAAATTTCAGCACGTAAGGCACTATATGAGGGGCTGCAGGCAGTCGTGATCACATTGGTAGTCATGACTGCCCTTTCTTTCACTATCGAAATTCTTTTCACAGCTTGAGAGGAAGGCTTTGTTCCTTGGACCTCATTTCTGGCCGGGTGTGCAGTATGAAGGGGTAGTTTTGGGTTTGGACGAGGCCATGGTCATGGGCTTCACCAATGTCGAGGTGATTTTTTTGGTTGTGGTAGTTTTCCCTGTTGGTCGAATTTGTGGTTTCGTCACTTGTGCTAAGGCATCGTAGACCCATGGTGCTATAACCGAGAGTGCATTCGGCGGTAGAGTGGACACATCTTCCCATGAAAGAAATCTATCGGGGGATGCGAACGGATCACTAGGAGTTCCGTCGCTCTACACATCGTGGGATTTGCTTGCCCCGCTGGCTTCCGTTTTGGTTGCTTTACTCTCCACTCTAGAGAAGACTGGGACGATTTTAGTCAATATAGCGGCGAGAGTAATGGTAGGTGAGGTCTTTGCTTTATCTGAAAAGGGTAAAATATTGTCCGGAAAAGGGGTTAGTCCCGTCTGCAGAGATGGTCGCGTTACTGTCTTGATAGGGTCGTATGCCTTGAAGGGGGCTGAGTTGCAGGAGGTGAGCATATGGTTGTTGAGTGATTCTCGTCATTTATTATCGTGCAGCCTTGGTTCTGTGAATCTATTCTGTGTGAGATAATCTGAGGAGAATCCGGTGAAGCAGCAAGTCTAAATGGCTCGGACGAACTTCCTTCGTTTCCGAAGTTCTTTGATCGTCGTAAGATGCGGCCCGCAGAGGTAGAGCGACCAAAAGTCAGAGAGATGACGAAGTATTATCCGAAACGCATATTGAAAAGAGTGTGGTATATGTGTCTCGTTATTGAAAGGTATAACTTATATGAGATTTGTAGCTAGCAGGTGAAAATGGAAAGTGATAGTAAATGTACTGGAGTCGAAACAATTGACTTATTCGATAACGATACGTGGGTATATGCGAAAATAACTGAGCAATGAACAAACAGAGAGAAAGAAGTCGAGCGACTTATCCATTTAGAGGATATATATTCCATGGCGAGATCATGAAACAAATAATTGACTTCAGAGATGAGAATTGTTGAAACAAGAGTCTATCCCTAAATAGATTGCAACATGGCTATATGACTGGGCTGCAGATGAAGAGAAAGAGCAAACACTAGTTATCAGTCACTATGACAGAACTGATAGACGTTTGTGAATATACACTTTTTCAAATCTTCCTCTCTTCAAGACTTCATCTTGAAAAGAGGGGAAGAAATATGAGAAATGAGTAAACATTGAACATTATTCTATGTCAGTTATTGGTAAAGTTGTATACTGTCAGCAATAGTTTGCGAAATATTTACTGAAGAAACTGAGACAATGACAAGAGTAGAGAACATATTAGAACGTTTCCACTTTAAAATTATATGCCAAGACAAAAAAGAAAACATATTTGTGTTGTATTGAAGGTTCTGCATAGATCATCAATTTGAGTTGACTATAATCAGACTGTGAACAAAGAGCAAATTCATGTTCAGAAGGTAAAATGAGCGCAGTAGACAATTACCTCATTAAGAGATTATGAGCAAAATGTTGAAACAGCACAAACAACAGAGACCAAAACTAATGAAACAAGATCATTATAGGAGGAAAAAGGTATATATGAATAATAATAAAAGAGGGTTTGGAGGAAATTAATTGTAACTGAAGTCAGATTTGACTGCTTCAAAAAATTCTATACTAACTCTAGATTTATTTTTTCTGCAACTTTAATCTGTTGACTGAGAATAATGAAAAAAGAAAACTCAATAGCCTAGCAAGAGCTCACTTTGAACATGTTAAGATAAAGCTCACATCCGTTCATCAATTCTTTGATTGTGATTTTCCTTTGAAAGTTGTTGACAAAGTATGTTTGCTTGTAAATATGTGAAGTTGATGATGATGACAACCAGTTATTCACTGTTATGAATTGCCTGGATACAAAAATCAACCAACTCATGATCTGGATTAACATCTGCCGCCATCAACCAGCGGGCCTATGTTGACATATATAGATGAATGATGGCACCAGAGGCTAATTCGCCGGTGGAAACTTTGGGATGAATTGGTGAAGGTCCTAAGAGATTTAACCCATTTCACAATGCCTGGTATTCTGACCTTAGTGGCGGAGCAGGGAAATATTTGAGCAAACGAAAAAGCCCGAAAAAGGGAGTCAACCCTCTCCATAGAGCGCAAACGCTCTTCAAAACGTGGTAGGCAACAACAGAGGCCTCTCACACAGCTACCTGAAAAGCACCACCCACTCCCTCAAACTCAGAGATATCTCCATTTAGGTTCTTGGAGTCACCGAAGTATCGCATGCGATATGTCCCATTTTTCAGTCTTCGCGGATCGTCAATGGAATAGAAATCGTCATCAATAAGCCACTCGACAGTAACATAACTGATTCCTAAGACAGAACTGATGCGCTCCCAATGGTAAACTAACGTCCAGTCGAAATCGTCCCGAACTACCTCCCAGATGTTCGAGGTTTGCTCTAAAAATTCGACAGTGACAAATGTTCCTTCAAGTCTTAAGTTATTCCGCGGATTCGCGCCGACGAACGTGGTGTTGACAGTTTCTCCTGGCTTGTATGTTTTGGTCTCGTCTGGAGAGGAAATAACATCTCCAAATGACATTAGAAGAGGTGCAGTGTCGAGGACAACTGGAGATATGAAAGAGTACGATGTGTTTGTGTTGATGGGTGGCTTAGGGCCGGCGGGGATGGGTGGCAATTTCGTCGTATAGGAGGGATCTCCAAGATAGGGCAAATATGTGAGTGTCAGGTTCATGTGAGCTGCTAAGGTGTGGGGGCCATGGAGTGTAGATGCTCCTTCGTAACGTTGAACTCCATACTCTTCTTCTGTTGTGATATAATGCACATAGGTATTTGCTGGACCACCCAAGACCACTATTGGGTCGGAAATGTTGAGAACGTCAGTTGCAGATCTGGCAATCGCTTCCTTCCATCGTCTGCCGGCCATGGTACTCGCTTCACCGGAAGACACGATTATGACCATCTGACCTACACGAAGGAGCTGTATGTCTACAATGTTTGGGGACCAGGGGTATGGCTCGTTTACACTACCAACGTCGAGAAGGATGATTTTGGGTTGCTGACATTCCTTCTGTTCTTCTGAAGGGGCATGAATTAGACTTCTTGCAAAATACCAGAAAGGGTTATCCGTGGATGAATCGGTGCCGTTCTGAGTGAAATCGAACACTCCGGGACCATCTGTGGTACCTGCAGCAAATGAAAATCCAAGGGAGGCGTTGCAAGTCTTTAGAACGCGGCTGGAATCAAGTGGGGATGTGAATGAAAAGTTTGAAAAGTTATTGAATGTGTGAATGGCGGCCACATTTTGGGCCCCCTTAATTTTTGTGGATTTTGAGCTCATTTTTTTGACAAGATCTTTGGCAGCCGTATATTGGCGGCGGCCGATTTCAAAGCAGCTTTTAGCGCCTTGATCCGTTTCGCGGAAATAGGGGCCACGGCCATGACAGGCCCCATTTTTACCATTGCAAGTACTTTCGTTCTGATACTTTAAATCAGCACAAATTAACGCTCAAATTCTCGACAGAAAATATGGCTGACGTACAAAGGTGCATCGAACACCAGAACCATCTTCACACCACGCGCCGAGAGTGTTGGGGGTGGTATCCCCGACGGTGGACTGGGAAAATCCAGCCACAAAGTCATCTGCATAACTATCATCGCCCCGGACACTTCTCTCAAAGAGGTAGGCAGCAACACCTTTGTTATCCCCAGTAACGAGTGTGTTGTTCCCAAAAAGAGACGTTCCATGGACCGGAAAAAAGGTGAGGATGCCGACTGTTTTCAAATCTGACAGTCTGTCAAACTTTAACAGAGTCAGGGTATTGTCAACATCAGAACTGTAACGATTTCTCTCCTCCTCAGGGTTAGCTAGATACGCAGATGGGCTGCGGTTAATGGCACCCTCCTCAACCACAGTTGACCCAAAGGTTAAGCTGCCAGGAGCCAAACTTTCATGGGCTCTCCTGATCGATAAAAGGGCGCCATCGATAATGGCCTGGTAACTCTGTTTATCGAAACCCAAGCTCGTGATTTGCGGGAGCAGGTAGTTCATCCAGGCCCCGGGTCCGGAGTGTGAATGTGTTCCAGTAACTGCAACATTCATCTTCCCATAACGAGAATACTCGTCGCCCATTTCAGCGAGCCCATCCAAGATACCTTGTCTGATTGCGGTGTCACCCATGGCGTTATCGAGTACGAGGAATATGAAACAGTTGTCTGGGTCTTTGACGCTTCCCACGATAAAGGCGCGGGAGTAGATACGCTGTCGCAGCCCTGTTCCTACTTGATTCATATCCGCGTAACCCATAAAGTTGATTTCCACAACGGGCCTTTTAAGGCAATTGTAAGCCGCTAAACATCCTCGATACAGGAAGATATATAGGTAAAAACGGAAGAGTTACCCAGTAATATCTGCCTTCCCGGTACCCAGCAAAAATGTATCCTCCTCCCCAGCCGCCCATTTCGAGTTATCGGAATACGAGCCTGTCTTCGGCGTGAACCATGATACGGTTGGGGTCTTGTCAACCCAAAATATGAATTGGAGAGCAACGAGGGCGCCTGCAAACGAGCCGATCAAGGCCGTGAATATTCCCCAACGTGTCATTTAGAAGTGCTGCCTTTTTTAGTCAGGAAAGAAATGTCTCCGAGAACAGCGTAACAAGATTCAATCAAAGACGACCGCCAGTGGCTCTGACTGCCTCCTGTTTCGGTTGAACGTTTTGCAGTCACTGTGTTTTTTAGTTAAATATAGGTGTATCAGCATCTGGGTAAGGCAGGCAACTATCCAGTCAGAGTTCTGGGTAAACGCGCTTTGCGGGGTACGTTACTAAAATCGGTGCCGCGCGGTCGTAGGTGTGTGTTTCAATTAATGGGACGCACACTGGTCAAGGAAAATTTGGCAACGGCCATGCTCTCAATCAAGATTTTGGAATGGCTGCTTTTGCTATGTGCCAAAATTTCCAGCTGCACATCCGTCCATCAGATCGCATAACCAAGGCCACCTCCCGGGCTGTACTCCGTATGTAGTATCGTCTTCGTTGTCAAGGTGACGTCAAACAAGGGATTAGATAATCAGGAAACATGTGAACCAACTAGTTTACTAACCATCCAGTGTGTATGGATTTCTCAGACTTAGTCCTTCGTCTCTGGCGCGGGATAATTGAAACCATAGGCGTCCACTTGCTAATTACATATGTTCATATGTGTAGTGTGCATTGAGATGCCGGAAACAAGAAGAATACATAAAGACACCCCTTGGCCAGGCTAATAACGACCCTTGAAAAGTGGGTGTTTACCCCCAACCAGAATCAGGCATGGCCGAATAAAAACATGGTCATACATATCAAAATTACCAGCAGATTTGTGTACGCTCGATGTTCAGCTCTACACCCTTTATTCTTCACTCTATTTAAATGAGTATAGTAATATGTTACTCTCAAAGGCCTATCACATATAGAATTTGTATTCTCTCATTCAGGAAGAATGGATGCGTCAAAGAGCGGTAGGTCTTAGGTGAAGTGATTGAGCCCTGTTTGATACTTTGAATGAGATGTTAGTTAAAAGAGGTGTATACGCCGTGCCTGATTCTGATTGGTGTTCAAAGGGTATTATTATCAATAGTTATTTAATGACCTATAATCAGTTTCGCATGCCCCCAATCATTAATATTGGTAATTGGGAGATTCATCCAATCATGTTATTGCAGTCCCCTCCCTCGTTGGGGGCCAGACAAAGTAAACTAAGCCGGTTGATGCATCACACACCCACGCTTGACTAAAATGAGCAAGATCCATCAGTGGAGTTTGCTCGGCAGAATAGGAAGATACATACTCATGACCATTCAGCAAGTCCTCAAATGGTCCCTAAAAACTTTGTCAAACTATATTTAACCCTTATAGCGGCTCCTCATGGTCCACAAGGTATCCAGGATCAGTCTCCAAAAACAAAAGTTGTTGAATCTTTTATTTTGAAGAGGATATCGCACTACCATTCTTCAATGTATGATATTAGTAAAGCTTTATAATTGCATTTGGATTCTCTCTGATTAAGAACGAGTTTAATGGAATTGTCTCAACTTTCACTATTCAACGTCATGAATGAGAACTTATATAACATTATATATATATATGATATGTTTTCGATTAAAGTGCTCTTAAAAGGTTACCTATGAGCTTATAGTTCTCATTAAATCATCATTTAAAAGATTTAGTTATTTTAATTATTACACTTTCCGCAGTAGAATATATCTCTAATAAAAAGCTTATTGATAGTTACTTTAATATAGTAGCTTTAGAAGTCAAATCAGAAAGATATTTCTTTAACAATCAGCATTGATCAAGTTTAACTTGTTTATATAAGAAGGAATTAAAAATAAAAATGAAGTAAATCATTTTATGACTAATTTAATCTGAATTATACGAATATTAATCTTAGATTCTGTAATTTTCTCACTTGAAGTATTTTACTGCTTCAAACAATATAACATTAGTGATTAGGTTATTAGAAAAGCCTCACACAATAACCTTTTCATTTTGATGTTAGGATCTAGAAAAACTATGTTTGCATGTATTTCAAGAACTGCATATGAGAGTAACTCTAAGTGTGAGGAGAAACTTGACAGTAGAATGGGCTGAAGATGATGAAGTTGAAGATAGAGCAGAATAACATTTGATTTGGCACACCAACCTTGGAAACTTATCCGCAAGAATGGATATTGGAGGCAGACGTGCATGGCGGACGTTTGGAGTTTGGAAGCCTGACTGTTCTGAAATGTCCGTACTCAGTTCGTTTATCATTTGATCGCGCATATCGCGGCAAAAATATTTCCAATTCAGGCTCTAGACGTATCAACATACATGATTCCACGGGGATTCAAAAACGTCGAATCCATTACAATTAGTTATAACAAAGTATAACCGTAAAACTGTTTACGAATAGACTGTCTAGGTAATAGACATCGTTTTGTACTCTTGTTGTCACTACCCTGCTTCCTGGTGCGTGTGTTCTAGTGGGAAGACAGGGCTGTAATATTCGTATTGCTTACAGAATAAGCACACCGCTACGTATTTTACGGTTCAATGGGAGAAAGTTCAAACATCAACTATTTCTGGACATCGCCGGACAGGGAAATATAAAGTCAGGCCACATACAATCATCTGTCTTCTGCTATATATAGAGCCTCAACGAAGGGGAAATGCCGCTTATCAACTACTTCCACGATTCTCTACCTTGTATGTCTCCATATTTCCCTAACTGGGGTTACATCCTTGATAAATGCCAACACTAACATCTGGTCAGATATCGACGATGAGCCCACAACGCAGGCTCGTGCCCACATTGACAAGCTCATCTCCGCAGAACTACCCCCGAATTTTCGAACGAACCTTCATCCTTCCCTCCCCGCTCTGCCCCAAATCAAGTTCTCCAACCTCATCAAACAGGAGCTCGACCGGAAAGAGGCTAACTTGCCCATAAGCGGTGGCATTGACCTTTCAAGATACGAGGCGCCAGACGCTCCTGAGGATACATTGGCATCAGGGAAAGCACCCGCAGAGGCTCTTAACAACTGGAAACAGACACTTCAAAGGGCATACACAGCCAGCTCTCATCTTTCTATCAGACAAGTGAATCTATCTCTATTGGATGCACATGGGAAGAACGCGTGGCTTATTGGGAACTCTCAGCTGGAAGATATACTACGGCGGATTGAGAAGGAACTACAGGAAACAAAGGAGGCCACTGAGGCCGTCCATAAAGAGAGGAAGCTGAGGCAGGAATCGGCTAAGGGCGAGCTTGTGGGGTTGGAAGATGCCTGGAAACGTGGAGTTGGCGGCATAATCGATGTGGAATTAGCTGCGGAGAGACTGCGGAGAGATATCCTGGAGACGAGGCGTCACCAATCGAAAGCGCAGCAGCAGTAAACAGCTGCAACATTTTCCTTACCGGGTACTTCGCACCCGCCAATGTCATTGCAATACAATTCTATTGGGGGAGGTTGGTTTGCTCCACTCTGGAGCAACTTGGATAGGTGTTGTCGGGAAGTTGGATGGGATGAGACAGTGCCCCGGAAAGCAGCTTGAGGAGGAGCTAAATCCTTTGTTCAGACGCATGCAATGCCTATTCGTTCTATAGACAGACCCATCACCCTAAATCGGGCTGAGAAATCAGGTTTCATACAACAGGTCGAATTTATAGATGGACAAGTGGTCCAGTATGCATGACTCGTGAAAACCCAACGTGTAAGACCTGGGTTGCTGGGCTGGCTACTGCAGGTTTTAACGTGGTGCATCGGCACATATCCACGCGTCAACCGAAGACCCTAAAGACAAACCTTTACCAGTAAAGTATCTGAGACCATCCGCTGGGCAGAAGCTTCCTCTCGGCTATACCGCATGTCTGTCTCGAGCGGAGAAGTCTAAGAGCTGCCTATTGATTGCCGGAAAGCATTTGCCGATTAACTTTACCGCACAAACATAGGCATGTTTTGCAAGTCTTGAATTGATTGTTCTGACTGGGGGAAAGCTAGGAATAATTGCTATCTGGAAGCCTAGAATCTGTCATTGATGTTCAGTATAATTTACATTCGTTTTACGGTGATATCCCCCCCACTTTGATCCCTGTAAGGGCGACGGACCGAAAAGGGTCATCGACTTCCGCTTTATTCCCACACAACGGCCAAGCCGCCGAGAATCTGAAAGGACTTAACTACCCCCTGTTTGCAAGCACAACAATGCTGCGCTCACTTTTCACATATTCTAAATTACTGTTGAATTGAGCTATTGAATTACCAGAAGAGTTGGCTTTTATGTTTGGCTTTGTTCCCCGCAGAGGTAGTGATCCCGCTAATTGTCTCTTAAGTAAGTGCCTCTCTGGCTGTGTCCAAAGTTTCCCCTCCCCCCCTTTTATCCTTTTTTTATTTTTATTTTTATTTTTATTCTCATTCCTATCCTTATTCTCTTTTTTTTTGACGAAGGCCATCAAAATATCCTGGTCATGTAATAGTTGCACTATCATATTCCATCAAGTACCTTTTTTCAGAGGGAATATTTCCGTAGCATTTTGTTTTCTTTCGATACACTATCAAGATGGGTTACAGTTGACCGACCTCCTGACCTGGCTTCCGTCTATGTCTGAACTCCTCTGTCAATATGTACAGGTGCAGGACAACATAAAAATACTTTAGCCCCAAGGCATGGAATCCTTTGAGCTATGCTTTATGGTCCCGCTTTTATCAAGTTCCAATAATGGGAAAACGTACCTTCCTGAGAGCTATGTCGATGATCAGAACAAGCTACACAAGTTCCTTAACCAGTGTTATTGCTCCCCTCAACAATTTGAATCCACAACGACTTTGTGAGAATTTATAGAAATCATTACAGATAATGTTACCTCTATGCTGGTGATGCGGAGAGCGGGGTGTGCATTTGCGGGGATGAAGATCACTTCCCCAAGTGCACAGCTTTCAGCTCCTATTATTATGCCGTGGGGAGACTAAAGAGGGGATAGAAATGATTTATACCCGAGTTTGACCTCATCGCAAGGTTCTCTTCTTTCACGTTCCCTTGTCAGTTTCAAAGACCCATTGTCAGAAATTATATCTTACTCAAGTACTCGACGGAACTATCTTCAGCCACCATGACTATTCTCGACGAAGTTGACATCATTGTGTGCGGTGGTGGTAACGCAGGCTGCGTCCCAGCTGGCCGGCTCGCCATCTTGGACCACAACATTCAGGTGCTTATCATCGAGGCTGGTGAGGATAACCTGAATAGTCCATGGTAGGCAACCTCTGTGTCCTGGTGAGGAATGTATTCTATTACTTTTTATCATCATTCAAGAGTCTTCCGTCCGGGGATCTATCTCCGTAACATGAAGTTGGATTCGAAAACAGCTTCATTTTACAATTCGCATCCTTCCGAATGGCTTGATGGCCGACGTGCCATTGTCCCATGCGCCCATATTCTGGGCGGTGGCAGCTCTATCAACTTTATGGTAAGATCTTGAATACTCACCTGGTCTATGGCTGGGCTAACATTCTGGGATAGATGTACACTCGTGCCTCTGCCTCTGACTATGATGACTTCAAAGCCAAAGGCTGGACGACCAAAGAACTCATCCCGTTCATGAAGAAGCACGAAGCATACCAGAGGGCTTGCAATAATAGAGGTCTTCATGGCTTCAAAGGTCCAATTAAGGTCTCCTTTGGAAACTACACCTATCCCGTCATGCAAGATTTCCTTCGCGCCTCGGAGCCTTCGGGAATTCCTGTCACGGACGACCTTCAGGACCTAGTTACTAGGTATGTAAATTTATTCTTCTAAGTACCTGGAATACCTTGCAGCTGGCATGTAGCGATAGGCATTTAGAGGAACACTGGTTGAAATTGATTAACCGAGACGCCGGTAATCAACTTACGCATTTTTTGCTCACTGTATTGGATTGGTATGCTGACTGCTTCCAGGCCGTCGGAGCGGTGCTGCACACGCATATATCCACAGTACCAGATCCAAATGCGACAATCTCCATCTGAGGTGCAACACGAAGGTCGACAAAGTTATTATTGAGAATGGCAGGGCTGTTGGCGTTGCGACTGTGCCTACCATATACCACTCGGACACTAACCCACCACGCAAGGTCTACCGCTCCCGTAAGCAGATCATTGTCAGCGGTGGCACTCTCAGCTCGTCTCTCGTCCTCCAGCAATCCCGTATTGGTGACCCAAATAAACTCCGTGCTGTTGGTATCAAACCCATCGTAGATCTTCATGAGTCAGTCTCAATTTCCAGGATCACTACCTTACATTCTCTGTCTACGGGCCAATCCTGATGTCGAGAGTTTTGATGACTTTATCCTTGGAGATCCTGATGTTCAGAAGAGGGTGTTTGATAAATGGAACTTGAAGGGCACTGGACCTCTAGCGACCAACGGCATTGATGCGGGAGTCAAGATTCGACCAACTGAGGAGGAGCTTGCAGAGATGAGAACTTGGCCCACTAATTAATTCCAGAGCGTCTCGGACAACTACTTCCAAAATAAGCCCGACAAACCTGTCATTCAATACTCTGTAATTTCAAAGTAAGTTTGCTGCCATCTTCGCCTCAGATAATACGTAGATCGATACACGGAAAGTTAATCTGTCTCAGTTAGTTCGGTGATCACATGCTTATGCCTCCGGGCAAATTTTTCACTATGTTCCACTTGGTGAGTTCGAAGAGTGGTAAAATCATAGTGTTAAATCATTAACAAAACTGTCTATAGGAATACCCATTCTCTCGTGGATGGATCCATGTCAACTCTCCCGATCCCTGTGAAACCCCCGACTTTGACGCTGGCTTCATGAACGACGAACGTGACATGGCTCCCATGGTTTGGGGCTATATTAAATCGCGTGAAACTGCTCGTCGCACGTATTCATACGCGGGTGAAATTACTTCCATGCACCCTCACTACCCTTTCGACTCTCCAGCTCGTGCACTCGACATAGACCTTGAAACAACCAAGGCATACGCAGAGCCAAACCATATTTCGGCTGGTAACCAACACGGTAAGGCTGTTACGTCCTGGTTGTTTTATATTCTAAGTTTAAGTTACTAATAACATTAAAGGGTCCTGGGCGCACCAACTAAAACCAGGCGAGCAGCAGGGGACCAACATCCTCAACTCTAACCGGCGGGATCTCCGTAAACCACTCAGGTATACCAAGAAGAATATCGAGCAAATTGAGAAATGGAGTAAGATATACACATGGATGGTTCCTAAAATGTTCATATCCCATCTAACAAGAAGTCTTCCAACTAGTGCAACGCCATGTCGAGACAAACGTGGCACTCTTTTAGAACTTGTAGTATCAACCCGCGCGAAGGTATCTCTGTTGTCAAGCATAGTGTGCTTGATGAGCGTTTGAATGTGCACGGCGTCAAGGGACTGAAGGTCTCCGATCCTTCGGTTTGCTCGGATAATGTTGGCTGCAATACTTTCAGCGTAAGGATGTAAGAATTTTTGATTTAATCATCTCTTCCATCCCTAGACCTGAAGCTGACATTGTGATAATTATAGACCACCTTTCTCATTAGCGAGAACTGTGCTGTGCTTACTGCAGAGGATCTTGGATATTCAGGAAATGCCCTGGATATGAAAGTTCCACCTTGCCATGCTCCTGGAGAGGCTGTCAACCTCTCTCGTCTGTAAATCCGTTTAAACTCCCTGTTGAATCGACCTCATCTTACAACTTGATTCCATGATACAAGAAAAGAAATAAGTAACAGAAAAGGAGAAAAAGTTTGAATTATGAATGAGTGTCAATTCAGTAGTGATTCCTTATTAGTTTGATGGTTTTATTATCATGAGATTTTTCATTCTGCCATCTTAGAATTAATGTTCTGTTTGTATCATTATTTCTCAGTGAACTGAAGGATACTGTTCCTGACTAGGGATATATTTACCTATTGTTCACAAATCAAATTGAAATTATCTTTTCTTGATGATATGTTGACGCTACTTCAAGCCAGTGCATAGATACAGAGCCGGTAAATGTGATGGCGTAGAACAGACCGAGGCGATCAGGAATTACAACTGCCTAGGCATTGGCGTAGCAACCAACCCCGCAATTACCCCGCATACGAATAACACATAAACGTGGGAAACGGCGCAAAGGAAAAGGGCTATATAAACAGAGCCTTCCCCGAACCCATCTCTTAGGAACCATCTTAGTATTTCGTCTAGATAGCTTACCTAGCTGGCAATCGAACATCTGTTTCACCTGCACCTAGATTGAAGCCTTGACAATAATAATATTATTATTAGAAAATATTTTTATTTATTAAATATTTTATATTTATTTATTTTTTTTAACTGGTTAAATTTATTTATTTAATTTTTTATAATAAATTTCATATAATTTTAATAAAAATTTATAGATTTAAAATATATAAATTTAACTAAAATCTCTATAACTATAAATATATAGTTTAAATTGGATAATAATAATAATAATAATAATCGTAATAATAATTTTACACTAGTTATGAAATATCATTTGCAACAGGCTGACCCTCGCAACCTAGCATTCATTTAAACCAGTCGTATGAATGATCATATTATCCTTCTTCCGCCCTGATTCCTCCACTGTATACTCATTGTTGCGAATCCACTCTTACGAATTCTTCCGTTCCTTTTCTTAACGAATTCGTCCCTTGTAGCTAAGAAGTGCTAGGGCCATTCCAACAATATTTATTTATAAACTCCTAGATTAAATCTAGTATTTGTCGGTAGCTACTTATCAATGTTTGATTGTGTTGGCTTGAATAGTATTTAAAGTATATCCTTTATTATATTGAAATGATAGAGAAGATAATTAAATCCTATACACCAGTAACTTATAAAAGAGTAGGGAATTTGGCTGTTAGTTGTCTAGTGTGATCAGACTGAGCGGAAGCAAATTCTCCATTCAAATCAACCTCAGACTAACTACGTTGTAATATCTCTATCTTATGACACTTGCAGTGTCAAATATCAACTGTCAAATCAATTTCAGAGGCTGAATGAAACTGTACGTGAACTACTATGATTGAATGACATGGATAATAAGAGCATCATTGATCTCATGAAGGGGAATCCTTAACTAAACACCGACATCATATTGAAATCTGCTGCCACATCCTTCGCGATCTAGTTGAGAGGGGTGAGATAGAGCTATGAATAAGGCAGACAAATTCACAAAACCTCTAGTGAAGCCTGCATTCATTGGTTTTGTTGAGAAGTTAGGATTGGTCAGATACTAGATGCTTTTTTGTGGTAACTACAGGATATATGTTATTTGTGTTGAATTTTACAGTGTTAAAGTTGTGTACGGACTCCTTCCCTATTGGGGAAATCAGTGTCTGATTGTTGAAATTATATATTTTTTTTATTGGGATTCGAACGATTTAAGCTAAAATAGCAACGCCCCGAGTGGCAAAGCTTAGTGAGCGCCACAGCATTGGATTAGGGGGGGGGGTCAGTGTTTGTGAATACTGCCACTACCCTAATAACGACAACGTTTATCCTCTTACCTTTAACACCACCCACCCACGCACGCCATTCAACATCGCCTAGCCACAACAGGTAAGCGCCTCACACCCGCTCTTACAGACAATCTTGCATGTCCGGTTTCTAAGCTGCAACCCTTCCTCGGACTCCTCCGAATAGCTGCGCCTCATACCCGTCTCTGAAACAGTTACATCACCACCAGCCACGGCTACTCCATGAGATGCAAGCTCAGGCTGCAGAGTAATTGAGTGTATTCCATAGGCATGGAGGCATTCGCTGATGCGCTGGGCGCGGGCCATGAAATTTGCCAGGGAGGAATCGGAGGTGACGACATGCGCAGAGGCGATGGCTTTGTTTTGGTTTAGGCGCCAAGCGTGGAGTTCGTGGACGGAAAGAACGCCGGGGATCTGTACGAAGTGTTAATATATATATAATAATTTTATTATTATTTATTTTATTATTTTTAATTTTGAGATATGCTGGTGATTTTGGGTTGGGGGCGGGTAGTTGATGCATTTTATTTACGTACGTTTTCCAGATCGTGTTGCACATCGTCTAGACTAACTCCAAGCGGGACGCTTTCGAGGAGTATGGAGCCGCTGTTTTTGACTGTTTAACCATTGGCGGGGAGAGAAGATGTGGGTTAGTCTTTATATTTTGTGTATGTAATCCGGGTTTTGTGGGAGGAATCAAAAGGCAAAATGCCTACCAAGCGGAATGGCAGATGCTAGAATCAACAGTCCAATTCCAACACTGACTCCGGGATCTGCATAGTATCTCCCTTCATACTTTGCTTTCCAAATAACCACTGCAGCAATAATGACGCCAATATTGTTGACAGCATCCCCAATTACGTGGAGAAGCACGCCCATGACGCCCAAATCATGTGAATGTTTTACGGAGAATGAGTTGGTGGTGTGTCGATGGTTTTCGTGGGTGGTTTCGACCTGTGGGGATTCTTAAGACGTGTATGATATCTGTGCCTGATTTATTCCCCTGTGTTCTTTCGTACACAGAATAGATAAACTCCAGCAGCGGTGGTGGAAAGACTTACATCTTCGAGTTCTATTGTTACGGCGTTCCGGTCATTCTCTGCATCTGATTCAACGTTGGCGACATCGGCATTACCATGGCCGTGGTCGTGCTCTAATATGCCGTCAGAAGAGATACTCTCGAACGGTTGGAGGAAGGGCAAGAAACGGAGAAAAAGAAAGAAAGCTGCTCCCAACGCATACATACCGTGAAGGAAGGAGGCGCTGATAATATTCAGGGTAAGACCGACGCAACCAATAATAAGGACCAGTTCCGGTTTATCAACTTCTATATACGCACATGTTAGTCAATGGGGTTATGGTACGTCTGACGTATCAATAGGAACTTTATAACCAAAAGGGGAGAAGGAAAGAAGTAGGGTGAGCATATAACATACTCTCTAGAGATATAAATCTCTCGATGGACTGAAGCAGAATGCTCACGCCCAGAGCCAGCAGGAAGACGCCATTGAAAAATGCGCCCAGGAGCTGAGAGCGCTGCCAGCCAAAGGTGAGGTTGCTTGGGGTTACTCCTGGCTTCTCGGAGACCTAGAGGGGAGGATGTTAGTCAGCATAATACTGATTCCATTTGTGTTTACTTTCGTTCGGTTTCCCTAGTCTGTCTGGGAGGATGATGGGAGGAAATGTAAAGCATGGAATCATATGTGAAGTAGATATGGCAGACAGAATATAAGGAGTTTGGAATCATACCTTCAAGGCAGCCAGAGCAACGACAAAACCGATAAGGTCATTTAGCTATATGAGTGCTGGGGTCAACAGAGGAACAGATGCAGATGTAAATGGGTTATGCAAAAGACGACGCAAAGTGGCCTCATAGACCGCATCGACAAGAAATGAGGGCTTTAGTTAGGACAACATGGATTGGATACAAGTTTCCCTACATAATGGAAGGCATCAGCAACCAGAGCTAAAGATCGCGTGTAGAAACCAACTATTTTAAACCATACACCATTGTCAGTTAGGATACCAGCGTCATCCAGGAGGATTGGCAGCCAGCAGCCAGCAGCCAGCAGCCAGCAGCCAGCCAACCAGGAATATCTTACCTGAGATCTCGGCCAGGAAGAATGTGAAGGAAATGGCAATGATGATGCTCAGCCGGCGGGCGCGGGTAAGATGGAAAATTCCCATTCTACCATATCATGTAATATGGTGTGGGGTCTGTGTGTCTACGAATGTTTTCTTTTCTTTTTTTCTTTTTAAATTAATTTGGACTAGGGGGAGCCGGGGGTTTCTGCTGCCTTCGAGGATCAAGAAAGAGTTTTTCTATTGCCTGCCTGGGGGGTATTTATGGCATGGGACAGGGAGAAGGGGAGAGATGATGAGAGCAAAAGGCAGGGGAAGGCCTAAGGCAAGGCGGAGAGCGGTCCGGAAAGAAGCAGCAGCAGCAGCAGCTGAAGAAGTGGGAAAAAGTGTGGCAGCCAGTACCTCATTAACAGACAGTTTTGCCCTGACAGGTTCACAGTACAGGGAGTTAGTTCTTTATTTACCCTGTACCTCGTTTTCCTTTTTTTGGCCGTTTTCTCTCTCTTCTTTCTTCCTTTTCTGTGTTATTTTTCTATTTTTATTTTTATTTTTATTTTATTTTTTGATGTCCGCATCGATCGAGCAAACAACTTCCTGGTCCTTCTTAGACATATTTTACTAGAGCTTAACGGCCCAGCTGATAAGCTGAAGCAACCAACCAGCCTAGTTCGAGAGCAAGTTTAGTTGGATCGGAAACATTAACTATGTAGCAGTTGCCTAGCCCTGTGGGGCGTTGTCGACCGATCATCAATCAATCATAGGCCAATACCTTGCAGAGTTAGTGAATCGAGAAAAAAAAAAAAAAAAAATAAAACTAAAATAATAAAAATAATAATTCCAGGTTTCCTGGCCCGGTGCGTTAATTTTTCGGTTTCGTGTTTCCCTTGGCCATCGAAATAACCGGTTGGAAACATAGCTCGACGGCCTGGATTCAGCAAAATATGCGATCCCAAACACCGGTAGGTTGCCAATTTGTTCGCGGGCTCCAAAACGTTAAGTTCGGCAGAGCTTCTTCTTTGAATCGGCGGTGTCCGCTGTCGTGATAGATAGAGAACGGATGGACGGCGGAAGTTCAAAGCTCTAGTTAAACTGCGGAGCAGTTATTTAAGAATGTGTGAAAATAATAAGAACTTAGGTAAGGAGGCGGACTGGGTATTTTTGATGTTATTTCATATCTTGGGACATTGCATTCAGGTTAGAAGTATTGTTGTCTCGTCAGGCCCGTCTCCCTATATCATCAAACTCCGGTAATTCACTGCCATCCAGTACGTGTGACGAAGTGACGTCGCTGATATAGATGATGAGTAATGGTATTCAAAGAAAAGAAGATGTAACTATGAAATAAGTTGTGCGACACACACTGCGTGCAGAAGCCCCGAGGAACAAGAAGAGCAATGATGAAAGGATGACCGAAGTTTCCTTCTTGCTTTTTCTTTGATTCTCTTTTCTTTTCTTTTCTTTCTCTTTTTTTTTGTTTTCATTATTGGACATTGAAGAACCATGAATCAATCAAACTAGCCGCGTAGCTAATCAGCCAGCCAGCACTTGAGAAGAGGGCATTAAATATACGAAATACCTAAAAACATGTGCCACATACATGTGCGAAGGATTTATGGATATGACGAAGAAAAGGGTAGTTAACGAACATGGAAAGGAAAGAAAAGAATCGGGTATACGGTATTGCCCAAACACAAACACCCTAACATCCCGCCGGTCTCAGTCTCAGTCTCAGCCCCTAATTATCCGGTGGCTCAAATCTCCCCCCCACCCAAGCAGGCTCAAAATGATATAATGATATCGCCGCCAAAACTCGACATAGAGCAAAAAAGGAAACGAAACAGCACAACGTCCCCTTTAATTGCGTGAATTTGATATTGTCCCCCATCTTTATAAAATACTTTTGTCCTCTTCACTTAAACTTCTCCTTCAGCTTCGAGAAGATCGCGCTGGCACGGTTCTTCTTCTTCTTCTTGCCCTTGTCCGCATCCTTCGCAGCAGCTTCAGCTTGCCCCTCTGGCTGTGGCTGAGGATGAGCCGGGAGTTGAGCCGGGGGCTGTGCTTGTGACACAGCGGGGGCAGTGACGGTTTCTGGACCGATAGTGACGACCGGTTGTGCTGTGGCATCTTTATCTGCAGGCGCAGGCGCTGGCTCTCTAGATTTTGGAGAAATGGATTGCTCCTGATATTTCTTCGCCGCAAGGGGAGTCGTACCAGGAGCGGTAGGTGAAGTCTCCGCCGTGATCACTGGCGCATGCTCACCAGCCGAATCATCATGTTTCACCTCCCGCAGCAGCTGACGCTCAACCTCTTCCTTCTCCGCTACAGCCTCAGGCACAGCAGTTGCTTCGGGATCCGCATGCGCCAAGTCAATGGAACGTCGGACCATTGGTGGAACCCCCCCGGAGGCATCGGTCGGGTTCACGCTTTCTAGCAACTGTCGCTCAACCTCCGCCTTTTCAGCGACGCAGTCTGAATCTCCTGCGGCTTCGGGTTCCTTGTGAGCTTTCGACATGGACTCCTTGACTACTTCGGGGACTTCCTTGGCGGGGGATTCCGGGCCCTTGGAGACGGAGCCGTTAGGAGCCCTTGTGATTTCTAGCGGGATTGCTCCGGCAAGAGCCGCAGTTGTCGATGTGGGACTGGCCGTTTGAATGAATGGTTCCACGGATCGATTGGAACCATTGATTGTTACTGGATGGGTGGTGACGGTTTCATCATCTTGAAGTGGGAGGAAGCTGGGGGCGCTGGCATCTTTTTCATAACCTGCTTTGTCCGTTGTAGCGGTGGATGTGATAGTATTTTTGCTGAAGGTGCTGGGGTTTGGGACGTGTTCGCCCGGCTTGATGTGCACAGGGTTTCCAATACCCTCCGAAGCTGGGATGGGGTTGACGGAGAACTGCTCTGGCTCTTTGGAAGGTGTCTCTGGGAATGTTCCCGTGGTTGATTCTGCTTTTCTCTCTAATGGAACGTCTTTTGCGAGATTGGCGGTGGTCGATTCCGGGCAAGCGGAGGATGTGATGGGCACAGAGGGGGCGGCATCAGTTTCAGGAGCCTTGTGCGACTCTTTGGAAACATCTGCTGCTAGGGCAGCGGTTGTGGAATGCGGTGTAACTCCAGACATGGCTGCTGGAGCTTCGATTCCTCCTACAGTATCTGGCTCGGGTGTATCCTTCGCGGGAGGAGGGAGTTGTTTAATGTGCTGGCGGAGAAGGACGTTGTTGGTATTATTGTGCCCGTCGTCTTCTTGTAGGGCAGCAGAATCTATCTTCCAGGCACCGTCGACGACGAACTAGGCAAAGAGAGTTATACAACAGGTCAGTCCAGCAATCGAGTTGAAAGTGTGGTATTTTGGGGACGGAGAGAGTCGGAGGGAAACAACGAAATCAGAAATATGCAAGAAAATGAATTAAGATGTGCAAGGGTAGTTTCAATGTAAATCAACCTTGCGCAGATGTAAATATGTGAGTAGTATGTGATTGCAAACTGCGAAGTTAATGTGGATGTTGGGGATGACAGTTGGGATGAATAGAATATAACCTTGGAGGGAGACAAGGAAGTGTGGGCTGGGAGATCGCCGTCATGACAGTGTCGAAACAACATCCGACTGACGTCGGTACAAGTCGGCATGCGCTCAGCCAAGGGCGGGAGAATGGCGAATAATGACGTAGGAAACGGCAGCACAAGTACTAGCTTGGTACCTCACGTGGTATGGGATGGTACAGCAAGTGCCGAGTGCTCCTAAGTACCCAACTGATTTGGCTTGCAAACAGGAAAAATGGAAAACACAAATTAGAAAAAGCAAAAAGGCTGATTGTGTCTGCCCCATCCAGAGCACCGATGAATAAACAAATAAAAATCGAGACAGCAACACAATCAATCAAATCATCAGAGTCTCGTCCTCTCATGTTGCCGCACTAAATAGCCCACTTCGTCTCTCCAATTGGGCCCGCATAAGAGAGAACAAGCCGGGTGCCAGCGGGCTTCAAGGGCAACCTGGAGCTGAACACGATAAAGCCTGAGCAAGCGATTGGAAATAGTGGAGAGGGGTTCAGAGCAATAGCCCACTTAGCGGTGAGATCGTCGTCCGAAAAAAAAAAAAAAATCATAACTTATCATCAGACGACCTCTCCCTGCTTGACCAAGAACGGAGCATGAACGAACCGCTAATGGGCTTCAAACGAGGAACCAAGACGCGTCATAAAGTAACATTAAGTAAAATAAAAATGCTCCGTAGATATACCCACCGCACAAGCACATTGTACTTATTTATTTTTTATTTTTAATTATTGATTGCATGCAGCGTCCAATTCTCTTTCCAACAAAAAGGGATGGATGGTTCTTAAAATTACCTTGTAAAGCATTTTCGTGCTGATCGCTGGCACTTCAACGTCTTTTCGGAAGCCATCTTCAGTTCTATCCAGCTTCACCGTTCGCCCCCAGTTATCGAATGTGCCCGTGACATAAACCTCCTTCGCCGTTTTGTCGGACCTGTAAATGAAAAACAGTAGAATCGTGTTAGCTATTAAATCCATCGTCATGTCGCACCGGATGTATCCATCGGGGTAGCTTTAGGGGTGGCGAGGAGGAAAAAGGGGGGGTGAGAGGAAGAGAGCTGCACAGTCGGCCAGTTGGGAAGATCTGAGGGCTATTTTCGCTATTTGCTTTTAAGACTCTGAAATACGGCTGGGTAGCGCACGGCATCGTCCTCTTTCTTTGTCGTACTTTTTCTCTTTCGTGGGCATATCAGGGCGCGTGCGACGGGGGGAGGTGGGGATCGTTCAGCTCCTGCGTTCTCTGAAGGACCTACCATTGGAATGTGTGAATAACCATTGGAGTCTTGGTCGCGCCGGACGGAGGCCTAATCGACTTCCGGCTCCTGTTATGTCTATTCCTTGCCATGTTGTATCTGCTGGATTGTTGGGTTTTTGGTCTGACCTGTCTAAGGCTGACTATTTAGCCTTGGGTGTACAAACAAAGATGATCTTGGGCAGTAAGGCTGGAATTGGGGTGAGTTTTCTCAAACTAGATTGGATAGGAGGTGGCTATTTTGCACAAGAAAAGAGGCGCTGTGAGACCCTGTGAGAGATGAAAGAGACTAAGAGTGGGTTTGCTTCAATTGTTTCCTTTTGTTGGAGGAGTTTTGACTTGCTTTGTTGCCGCGCGGAAATTGTTTTATTGGTTTGAGCAAAGGTCAGATACAAAAGTTATTAAAACTAGGCTGGTTGGGCTATTTTAGCGGGATGAGACTTAAATATACCATCCCAGGGTCCACAGTTATCAAGTCACAATCTTGCTAATAGTTAGTTAACTATATCTGTATAAATAAGCATCTGATATCCCGTGATATGGTGTTATTTGCTATACAGCCTTAACTATACATACGCATACATACAGTCCTACAGATTAGTGATGCGATACGGCTCAACGGAAGTGACGAGAAATACCTTGTTTATAGCCCCATGATTCCGGCTTTTCGACGGCATCCAATAAGCTAGTTATTTCCACAGAGTTTGAAACCCTTGCAGGTTCAGTTCAGTTTAGCTCCATTCTACCAAGACAATGAAGACAGACACATGCTCGCAGCTCTTTGAGGGGAATACTCCCAGCATTCAAGAAAAGAGAGCCGCAATACATACACCAGCGCTTTTTTGCTGTTGGTTTAAAGGTTTGAGTTGGATTCGTTTCGTTGAACCTGCTAAAGAGGGAAGATTTTCAAAGAATGGTCCTGGAACGATTCCTTTTCCTTTTCTACCGATTCGCCGATACGCACATCCATACATAGGCTGTCTGGGTTCCTAGCCTGTGCAATTATGGATTTCAATATATGGAATACATAGGCACTTCCCTGGCAATATCGTCCAATCTAGATAATGCTTTGGGTGGCACCGATTATGTTCGCAGCATATGGGGTGCATGGTAGAATATGAGGACGTGCATGCATGCAAGCTACAAAACATACATGTCCATGACTCGATAATGATATTGAAACGATTTGCAGATAATTGGAACTGTTGGTTCCATGAAATGATAGCTTAATCCGCGGCTCAGAGGATTGATTATATTCAAGAAGGTTTTATGTCCAGGTTGTTAATCGGTTAATAAAGTTTTGGTTCTCTGTTTCTATATCTTCTTCTTTTTATTTTTGTTTATTTATTACTATCAGAATTAAATTTTCTTTCTTTTAAGCACATAGGACATATCATATAGGCTCTTATCAGTCAATCGGTCAGGTCGTATTGGCATCTCTCTTTTTCTTAGAGAGAGGGTCGATCATGGAGTTTAACTCCTCTCAAACCCCCACGCGTTATTTCGGATACCAGATATCGTGTGTATATCCTTGGAGTTCCCACAGTTTTTAGGATTGATCCCTTTGACACGGTGGTTTAAGCGGTCTCTTGACTACTGATCTCTCACTCCTCGACTTGATCTTAGAAATATACAGACTGATCAATCTTCTTAAACACTTGACCATCACTATGTCAAATATACAGTCACTGAGGTTATTAGCAGTCGCAATTATTGAACACATCACTCAGAATTCGTAATATTTTTCATGCAGATTTACTCTGATCAGCTGCGAAAGACTTATTTTTCCTCGAACCTCCATTCGCCACCCGGCCATGATAGCAAACCATGAACAAGCTTCCACAGGAGCCTTTTTTATTTCTATTTTAATATTTTAAACACAATTTTAAGAGAGAGTACGTTTGAGAAAGATAGAGTGACAGAGAGACAGAGAGAACAATATTCTCCTCCTCTCAACTTCAGTCAACCCTCATCCACGTCACCGAAGGCACCGATATCAACAACTCTTCGAGACTGCGTTCCATGTTATAACAATGTGCAGACCGCACATTCGGTGGTAGGAGCAGAGGGGGTGGTCATGATTTTGAGAATTGTCCTTCCAGGAAAGCCATTTTTTTCTCTCTCAAAAGATTCTAGAACGTACGTCATACGACTCCCATTCTCTTCTTAGGAAATCAGTTAAGCTTTTCTCAGGAAAGAGAAAGGAATGAGTATGTCAAGTGCCGTTTGATGAGTTCTTTCTGATGATTGACTGACCCAGGTCTCTAGCAGAGGTGAGAATTTCAGTGACACTGAAGAGGTGAAAGGGCCTTCTTCTTCGATTTGAAAATATGTCTCTCAAAGCACGGTTAATTTGGGTTCATTTGAGTCGGGGAGAGGGAATGGTGCTCCCGGAGATGATTAGCCCCAGCACGTTCCACAAAATTTGTTGAAGGCAATGGATAGACAGCATGCCTAGCAGGTGGGACTGGAGATCGGGAGGTTGGAGATTTGAATTGATTCGTCAGGTGGCGAACGGAGCTGGAAGTTACGGTACTTCGCGAAATCCATGAAGTCAAAGAGAAGAGCAGCTTCTTCGGATCACCAATGACCTAATTTCACCTTCAAGCGACCAGAGGCCCATCCGTCCTGTATGTATGAACTGTACGAGGCGCAATGATTCATCACTGGATTAAAGAGGTCTTTTTTTTTTTATCATTTGAATAAATATGCTGGCGCGGTTGCCCTTTGAAATTGCGAAAAGACTTCGAACTCGTAACACCCGGGAGAAAGCGGGCTAGCTAGTGAAGATATGTTTGCAGTGTTGTGTAGAACTGTTGCTTTCGAGGATTTTCAAGGGTGTAGTTAGCGGCGAATGGCTGTGAATTTTGTCGTTAGTTACTAAACTGATGCTGCGTCTGCAGGTTGGCTTTGCAGATAAGGTTAAGCCGTGGCCTGAGCGTAGATCCCTTGAACGGCCGTTGACCACCAAGGGAGCCAGTCGGCGGCTTTACGCTGAAAAGAAAAGAAAAGAAATAATGCAGAAAAGGAAGAAGCAAAAAATAGAAAATTTAGAAGAAGAAGTAGAAGTTGTATCTATGGGTATTGGAAATACCTCATCATATTGATGTTGTTTTGGGTTATACTACTTCGACCAACATTCCAGAAAGACAGGAGAAGATATAGCTATAGAACGGAAATGGAACGGTATCCAAATAAATCACCTGGGAGCTAGAAACGGGCAATCTTCTAGAAAATGGCTGGAATCGGGATGGAAGAAATCATGGAAGGATCATAGACGACATGGGAACAAGAATGAGGGACTGGAAAAAGAGGGGATGTGATGGTAGGTCCAGAACTAGCATGGCTAGTTTCCCCCGCAATTGGAAACCTGTCCCACGACATGAGGAAGAACATTGATCCAATGATTCCGATCCCTCGCCCTCCCACCCAAATATCTATTTTCGATTCTATATTTCTTCTTCTTTCCATTGAATTGCATGATCGTGATAGGCTGTTGACGACACATTATTAAAAAAAAAAAAAAAAAAAAAAATTGGAATGTCGACCACTGCGGCCTTTGGCAAACGAAAGTGGATGATAACTAGGTATTGTAAAACACGCCACAAGTTGTCACCGTTCTTGTTCAAGAGGGCAGACCGTGCCAGACAGAGAACCGTGAAAGAAATAAGTGAGCAGCGAGCACTTGAAGAGAGAGGAGTTGGTGGTTACATTAAATCATTTCCATATTGGCTCAATCCGCGCTCTTATTAAGACTTTTAAAAAGAGGCCACGATGGCGCTGTTGTGTGCGAGTTTTAGCAGGGATATGCAAAAAACGGTGAGGAATTAGTTAGTTGCGCATTTACTAATTTCTCGAAGCTGTAAACCTTTCGGTATGTGAAGAATAATAAATATATCGACAGTTATAAGAGGTACATAGAAGAAGTAACATATAAAAGAAGTTCATGCCCACTCCATTGTCTTGTGGTTGGTGTTGGTTAATGTCCCTTTCAATACCGCTTCAAACCCTCTCAAGAGCGCCTAGTTTTCTAGCGGCTTCTCGAAGCCTGGGATCCCCGTCGGTTGCCTATTCCAGCCTATTATTAGCAGGCTGCAGCGGATAGTTCATACCTAGCAGCCTAGGCACCCCACTAATACGCCCTAAAGCTAAGCTGTAGCTCGCCTTCAGCTCTTTCTTCCCGCTATGATCCTATTATCCATCACCCCTTAACAAAAAAAAATACCTGCCCGTAATAACGACAATAATAGGCCCTGTCCTGCCCCTTCCCGGTATTACTGGACTGTCCCTTTGTCGGTCTCCCATGCTCTCTCCGCTTAAACCACTTTTAACTTAAACCACCTATTTACCGCCTCCCACATCCCATCCTTTCTACATCAATGCTCGTCACCTCCAACTCCATCACAATCACTTCTGCCCTGCTGATCTCCCTCTAACCGCTCCTCATACCGTCATCCAGTTTCCCCGCTCCATCCTACAAACTTTGTCCGTACCAACCAACCGCCCCAGAACTACCTCGCTACAAACAAGCTGGCTCATTTGCCTCAAAAGAGGTCCCCTCGCAATGGCCCGTAATATGTTCCCCAGCCCCAACCCTTTCGGCAGTGGAACTTCCGACGTCTCCAAGATAGAAGAAGAAGACGAATTCATCTCGTCCCCCACACAAACCAACTTCCACCACACCGCTCCCGGTCATCAATATCTTGCCGCTACCTCTCGTTCCCCCACAGATCATCCAGCGGGCCCTAGCGGACTCAGCAAGAGCACCAGCACCAGCGCAGCTGGAGGTGGAGGTGGCGGCGACGCAGAAGCTGACGGAGACTCATTCCACCGCAACCCCTTCTCCAGTGTTCCCCAAGAATCCCATGCCCCCTCCTCCTTTCCCCCATCCGGCACCAGCACCAGCACCAGCACCAGCACCAGCCCCCCAGACCCCAGTTTCCCAAACAACTACGCCCTAGGTCGCCGCACCTCCGTCTCTGCCGAATCCTTGAACCCCTCCAACTCAGGCGCAGACAGCTGGATCCCCCCCTACCACCCCAAAACCCCCATCCAACTCTCCCGCCTCCAAAAAGCCGTCTCCACAAACTTCCTCTTCACTCACTTGGATGACGAACAGTTCCGCACAGTGCTCAACGCCCTCGTCGAAAAGCCAATACCGGCAAAGGACATCAAGGTCATCACCCAAGGCGACGCAGGTGACTTCTTCTACATCGTCGAAAATGGTGTGTTCGACGTCTACATCAACCCAGCCGGCTCTGTGCAACCCGGCGGCGCCGCAGGCCTAGGCACGAAAGTCACAACCATCGGTCCGGGAGGCTCATTTGGTGAATTGGCACTAATGTACAATGCTCCCCGCGCCGCCACCGTCGTCTCAACTGTTCCCAAATCCACCCTCTGGGCCTTGGACCGCATCACCTTCCGCCGCATCCTGATGGACTCTGCCTTCCAACGACGCCGCATGTACGAAGCGTTTCTCGAAGAGGTTCCCCTTCTCTCCTCCCTGCGTCCCTACGAGCGCGCCAAGATCGCAGATGCGTTGGATACAGTCAAGCACAGCGCCGGCTCTACGATTATCAAAGAGGGGGATCCCGGTAATACGTTTTATTTACTTGAATCCGGGGAGGCGGAGGCATTTAAGCAGGGCATTGAAGGGCCTGTGAAGCATTATAAGCGTGGGGATTATTTTGGGGAACTTTCGTTGTTGGATGAAAAACCTAGGGCCGCGAGTGTGGTTGCCAAGACGGATGTGAAGGTAGCGCAATTGGGGAGGGATGGGTTTAAGAGGCTGCTTGGGTCTGTGGAGGATATTATGAGGCGGGCGGAGTATGAGACTGCTGCTTCTAATGGTGGTGCTTCTAATTCGACGAATGAGAGTGATTCTGCGCAGAAAGGGAGGTAGGGGTTTATTTCTATATCTAGGATGCCGCTTCATATCTTTATTCTATTTTGCTTTTTATTCGTTTTATTTCTTACTTTCAGAGTAAATCTGATGGTTTGTGCCTTCTTCACTTTTTCATTTTTCATTATCATTAGGATCGTTTTTGTGTTTTTATTTGCTCCTGTTTTTTTTCGACTCCGAAGTTTTATGTTGGGCGTCGTCTCTGCATGTATGCATTCTGTTTTATTTTTCATTTATTATCTAGTTTTTCTGCTGCGCAGGGTGGGTAAGACGGAAAATGTTCCCTACAACTTCCCCCTCTGAAACAAAATAAAACTAAAAAATAGCAAGTTGGGCTCTTCTAAATTTTATTTTAGGTGAAGGGATGGAGGGGCGGGGTGGAGCGGAGCGGGTTAATTCACTAGGGCCGAAAAATGGAGCATGATGAATATTAGCGATGATGAATGACGACTTAATATCAAAAATGGGAAAAACAAGCTCAAAAGGAAAATGGTAAAGGCAGAAAGAAAGAAAAAAAAAAAAAAAAAAAAGAAAAAAAAGAAAAAAAAAGGGAAAAAATAAGAAAAAAAAGAAATGTGAAGTGAAGTGAAATGTGAAGCTGCTTTTTGGAGATTTTTGATGAAAAATTTGCTTCAATGTTCTTTTTCAAATGCCATCCAAAGAGGATTCTGAAAAAAAAAAGCAAGGAAAAAAAAAGCCCCTGCATGTTCTATATTCTATTACTCACCACGATGAACACTGACAGCCTTGAATCATTCAATTTTCATCTCAACGGCTATTTTCTTTTCCCTCTCTACCTTCTTCCTTTTGGAATTTTGTTTGATGGGGTGAATTACTATATAACATAGTTACCATTTGCCTGCTGCTTTTCTCCATATTATTTTTAGTATGGTATTTTTAATTGGAAATTCCGTCTTTTCCTCTTCGCTTTTTCCCTCTCCTCCTCTATTCTCTGCTTCTTGATGTTGCTGTTGTCTCCCCCCTTTATTCTAATCAAGCCATAACCTCTACATGTCCTTGGCCCATAATCATTGAACTTAAACCTACGAAATTTGCAAGGGGTAAAACATACCTTGTATATTTCATGACGTTAGATCCGTTCACCCTTTTTCAAACGCAAAAAGTAAAAAGGCATAACTATATCACAACATAAGTATCGTACCAAAAATACCAAAGCCGAAATGGCTACCCTTCCCAGCTCCCCCGCCCCCATCCAGCCCAAAATCATCTTCTAACAACCAAATCGCTCCTGATAACCCACTTCTCCCCTTCCGTCACCTCCCGCCCCTCATGCAGGAGACAACTCTCCCCATGCCTATGCAGCAACGCCATTCCGGCCTCCAATCCCACGACAACCGGGTCCGGCTGTCGGGATGCCTTTGTGGGCTTCTCGGGGTAGAAGGCGGTTTCCCCTCCTGTGCAGGTTGTTAGGTAGATTAGGAGGGTCCAGGTAGTTTTTGCGCGGATGGTGGTGGCGGTAGTGTTGTTGTTAGTTGGAGACGGAGAAGGGATGGATAGGGGGACGGAGTCGTCGTCTATAAGGGGGACAATTGGATTTGTTAGAGATGGGTGGAATTCGTGATGTGATCATGTATAGAGGACAGGGGAGAGGTGGGGGTTGGGGCGGAATCCGTTTAGATCTCTCCCTACACTGGCCCTTAAAGATGTGTATGCACATATACATTTACCGTACAGTAGTAGTACATACGTCATCTATATTTACAACCCCGATTTCTCCGGTATTCCGATATCTAAGTAGAATCCAAAAAATAAAATAAAAAATAGCATATAACTTACAATGCCTATCGAAAAACTGCCCAGGCCCATATCTATATATCCGTATATTCGGATTCAGCCCCAGGACCTCTCCTCCCCACAACCCCTGCCCACCCCCACTCTCATCAGAAAGCACCAGCTCCCTCAACGCAGTCGAGCTCCACAACCTCTCCGCAAATGCCGGATCATGCACATGGAACCTATCATTGACACGCACAGCCTCTCCCCTCTTGGGTCTTGTGTGCGTTGTGACCAGCGGCAGTGAGGAGAGGAAGGAGACGTAGGTTTTGCAGAGGGTTCCGGTGAAGAGGTTTCGGATTATGAGGATTTGATCCTTGAGGAGGGTTGTGAGGTGGAGGTCTGAGAGGGGGATGAGCGGTTTGAGGGGGGGCCAGTTTGGGGGCGTGGTGTTTGTGCTGGGGTTGGGTTTGGTGCTGGTGCTGGTGCTGGTGCTGCTGCTAGGTATGGAGGTAGAGGTTGTTTTGGAGGGGGTTTGTTTTGCGGAGGATTTTTTGTTGGCTTTTGGTGCCATTGTTCTAGGTATAATGTGTATATCTATGTCTTACTATTGCTTTTTCTCGTTGGGTGTCTGTTATATATTGGGTCTGCTATTTACAGGGGATGGTGGCTTCGGATTGAATGCGGTTTAATATCGCAACTTGAAGAGTCAGATTAGTGTCGGCTTCATGATTCAAATGATTGAGGTGGGAATTGACTTGTAAATCATGAAAGATATCGAAATACCTTATGGCAAAAGGTAAGATAGATTTAGCGATAATAAATATAAAATCAGATGAAGACTTCCGCCGCTCGAATCTCCACCTTCAACAACCGCGGGATGTTGGGGAGATATTGTGGGGGTGGGACCAAGAAGAAAAGGGTCTGAAAAACACAGGTATTAAAAAAAATATGATCGATGCAGGGCTCGAACCTGCGATCTCCCGCGATTTCGCTGTAAAGCGGGCGCCTTGACCACTGGGCCAATCGATCTGTCTTAGAGATTTGTAATCGGACTACCTACCTAAACTTCTACAGAGAGGGAAAAAAGGCTAAGGGTCGCATATTGACATTCGCTGGTCAGAGTAACAGGGTAGATGGAGTCCGATTACATGAATGGGAGGTCAGTCCACATTCTGTTTCTCCTCCTTACACTGTGTATATACAAAGTAGCTGTTGTAGTCGCACAATGCTTGCCTTACCCCGCAATCCAAATTATCCCGCCAATCTCCTATCCCATCAGTCAGGCTAGCTCCAGTTGCCAATATGTGTCGAACTCACGGTGGTCCCCGAGCTATTGTGGGTGGAAACGTATATGAATGGTTACATAAATAGCAGAGTATGGATGGTAAATAGTTATCTTTTCGCTTCTTAGAATAAGCGCCCTTTTTTCGAGAGTTGGAGTCTACCACATCGTTTTAACTACTTTTCGCGCCCTCGGTTTGGTCAAACATCCTATTCCGTAGACAAACAGACATCCAAATTTCATATTCAATTTCAACAGGGGCACAGAAGTTTCATTGTGCTTTTCCCGGAAGATCTACCACACAAAATATTCCTTGCATCAGAGCAAATTGGTCAACCAAGCGAACGCGGCGTGGAGTCCGACATCCTGGGGAGGGAATATGGACGGCGCGGAAGTGTGGTAATTTCAGAGGAAAGCAGGAGGGCCGGATGTCAATTGAAGTAAATACATCGTATACGGGCTGATGCAATCATTTGTCTCATTTAGCACTGTCTGGGGAAAGCATTCCAACCCCATAACCTCCCTCCATGTGTTATGTAGAGTGACCCTTGCCAAGGAACAGCCGCAGTTGGTGGATGAGTCAGCAGCCGTACTTAGACCCAAATCGGATAGCTAAACGATGCGGCCAAGCGGACTATACCGAAGTAAGCCTAAGTAAGCCTGAGCAAGTTCCTGTCTGTCTACGGTTGACTGCAGCTGCCCAAGAAGAAACCCTACGGAATCGAACTGCATTTCTTCAACTTCACCGCTTTAGCTCGAGCAGGTTGGGTTGGTCCCTGGCAACTGCATGCAAATGTCGTCTCAGACCCTGACGACGTCGCTGATGGGCCATCCGCCTCACGATGCGGCGCCAGATCGGTCTGCCTACAATCTCAGTGACTGTTCCCGGGACCTCCCGGCCGATGTACCGAACAAGGTCGGCGCCTTGTCCGCCCTCTCGGGTATGCGTATCCTTCAAACTTCTATATAGCCGTTGTCATATGGAACTGACTCGATATGATATGTGTAGATGACTACAAGAAACAGACCGATCGGGAAAAGCAAAGCGCCGCGAGCGCTCTTCTAGCCCAACTTTTTGCCAACAAGCCGACCGCCAATGATACAACACAAGATGCCCTGCCAACCAAACTCGCAGCTGATGACCCCAGAAAAGACAAGAATGTATTGCCCGAACAACCCTCGAACGTGTCAGAACCACCAGCGCAAATGGAGAACAATGTGAATGGCTCTGGCACTGGGGCTGTTGATGTGAATGACCCTGCGAAGGAGCCTGGTTGGGGAGTTAACAACGGAGTGAATGAGGGAATGAAAAAAGGTCAAGATATCCTTGCGAATGTATTACAAGGGGTTCCAGAGGCAAACATATCCAAGGATTTGGACATGAGGTTGGATACCTTACGGAACAACAATGATAAGATGGAATCGGAGCTAGAAAAACTTTGCTCCGGTTTGCTACCCTTGGGTACACCTAAAAACACGAAGGAAGCACTGCGACAGAATGAACTGCTCACAGACGCTTACTTCAATGGAGATGTTCATTTCGGCCCAACTCCCCGTATTGTTAACTATCCAGAACCCCCACCACATACCGACGGGGAAAATTCTCAGGCCGCGACGGAGTCTGTCGTCGGTTCTGAACCTCGCATTCAGGCCTTTGCAAAACTAGAGTTTGACGATGGACATTTCTACGTCAACACATACTCGTTTATTTTGGGCCGCGATGTCCGCGCTGCTCGCGCTGCCTTGCAGCGGGAACTCCAAGTCAGACAGGCAAGAGCGCAAAGTTCAAGTGGGGGAAACAAGTCCTATACCCCAAATCGCGTGAAGCATGAAGGAAGTGCTATAATGGGCAGTGTGGTCAGTGATAGAGGCGGCATCATGGGCTTCGATCCTGACGTTCCCCAGCAATTCCCGCCCCAAGTGAGCTGGAAGTCATCCAATTCATCCCATGGCGACCAACGTCGTCCAACTTTACACATGGCCGCTGCAGAAGTTCCCTCTGCTTCTCTCGAGACGCCAGAAATAACAAAAGACTACAATGCTCTTGCGATGCAGTCATTGCGTTCAAGAAATGACCCTAAGCCTGTCGATACGTTGTCATTATTACCTTCGCCGGACGCGTGTCCAACAATACCAATTCATCCTCCCGCGCCTTCTAATGGCTCTGTCGCCACTCATCGTGGTATATCTAGAAAGCACGTCAAAATCGCCTACAACTTCGACCGAAATCTCTTTGAGATGGAAGTTATTGGAAGGAACGGGGCTTTCATGGGTGCGGATTGGCTTGCGCCGGGCCAGGTGAGGCCGCTGCACAGTGGTGACTTCATCCAAATAGGTGGTGTCCGTGTGAGATTTGTGCTTCCAGATGTTCCGGTTGGTGAAACTGGAGCAGACCAAGATGAACCTGAAATAATCAATGGAGATGAAGAGGAAGTTGCAGGAAATCAAGGCGAGCAGGATGCTAGAGCGGGCAGTGACGCTGAGGTGGTTGATAACATGGATACGGATGGCTCGGAATTCAGTGGAACGGAAGATCGACCAACACCTATGAAAGCTAACAAGGAGCCAGTACCTAAGTCGAAAGTCACAGCTGAAGTCAGCCCGGAGAGTTCTGCCCAGCCTGCTCGTCGTCGCGGGCCAGGTCGCCCACCCAAAGACGGAATCATGTCCAAGAGAGAACGAGCTGAAATAGCTAGGGAACAGAAACTGGCTGCCAAACGGGAAGCCAACGGTGGTGTGACGCCACCTCCTTTAGGTCGCGGAAAGACTGGAAAGACTGGGAAAGAATCCGGGCAAGACGATCCTCCGAGCGCAAAGGCAGAAAAACGTAAATACACCAAACGGAAGAAGCCAGATTCAACTTCTAACGACATGGCCATTCCTTCTATTGAAGGTGGCGATGCTAATGCTACCATCGGCGCTGAAGATGTCCCCAAACAGACGCCTATGAAAAAACGAAAGCCGTCGAAATCTCCGTCACCCGATTATCCTCCTGAAAGTTTCTACACCAGTGAGGACCTCGCGAAGCCTCCATATAACTATGCCGTTCTCATTTTCGACGCTCTGACCGAATCGCAGACGCCAATGACTCTGAAACAAATATATCGCGCGCTTAAGTTGAAATATCCATATTTCCGGTTTAGATGTGAGACTGAGGGTTGGACATCAAGCGTTCGCCATAACCTTAACGGAAATGCTCATCTGTTTGAACACGCAGAAAGGGACGGGAAAGGATGGTCGTGGAAGCTCACACCCGGGGCATCTGTTGATAAGGAAAAGAAACGGAGGCCCTCACCCCCTCCTCCCTCACATACTACCTCGCAAACTACCCACAATCTCACAAACAGCCAACCCTACCTGGCGCCCACTTCAGGCACACAGTTTAATACCCCCCGTCCTAACGTGCCCGATCGTCACAACTCTCACCTCTTCGCATTACCCACTATAGGTAACGGCCAGTCTCCTCTTGGAGGAGGTCCGACGCTGTCACATAACAGTCCTTACTCCATACCAAATTCCGCTGCTCTCTCACTCCCGCCTGCACTGCGTAAAAATCTCCTGCCCACATTTGCCAATTCCACAACTTCGACATACCGGTCACCGTATGCCTCAGCTCCACCTCCCGAGATATTACAAGCACAACAACAGCAACAGCAACAACAACGACAACCTCCATCAATTCCACCGCTACAGCAGCAGCAACAAAATCTTCCTCAACAACAACAGTCCAGCGCTCCTGCTCCTCCGCAACTACGACAATCCCAAAAGGTTCCCACACAACAACCACAGCCGCAATTACAGCAGTCGCAGCAACAACAGCAGCGACAGCAGCAACAGCAACAAACCCCACAACGGATGTGCCCCCCTGAACAATACAAATTCCTCAATCACACCCCTCATCCCATCCAAAGTACCCGACCACCTTCGTCTAATAGCGGTCCTTCCAAACCGCCTTCAGCACCTTCAACGAACCAGCCCCAGCCGCAATACCAACCTCAAACCCTTCCTCCATCCCAGCCTCCCAATACCAATCCTAATACCCATACCCATACCCAACCACCATCGGCACTCCCACCTCAAAATCCAACCACCCAACCCCCCCCCGCACCTCCTCCAGCACCTGAACCTGAACCCGAACCCGAACCATCATTCCTCGAGCGAGCAAACCAAGCCATCGATAATTTCGAAGCAGTGCTAATGGAAGACTACGAAGATAAAGAATATATCTCTAAAGTCTTACGAAGCGCTCGCAACCGCGTGCTCAATGGCGCAACGGAAAGTTCATTCCCCGGTGGTGAACCGAAGGATGAATCTGTTATTATCGATGCCTTGAAGGGGATTATTGCGGGGTTGAATGAGGAGTGATTCGTTTTTCCTTTTCTTTTGTTCCACCTCCCCTTCTTTCCCCCTTTTGGTATTGCCGGGTTTGGAAATGTGGTGCGTGTTTGCCGTTTTATGCCGGAAAGGAAGTCGATTTCCGCTGGTTTACATACCCGTTGGTTTGTTGTTGGTTTTTTTTTTTTTTTTTTAAATTGGCCTCCTTTCCCGGCCCTCCCCACAACTTTTTACCGTTCACTTCCACAATCTTGTCTGTCAATGATCTTTGCATTGGGGTTGGATACTTTTTCTTTTTTTCATATTCCATGCATAGATAAGCTACTCTATCATATCCATCAGCTGGTTTTCCTTTCTTTTAAATAATTCTCCTCTTTTCCGTTCTTACGATCGAATGAGAAACGAAGGAAATGATTCTCATTACATCTTTCTCACCTTTTTTTTTGGGAGGGGGGAGGGTGTGGGAGTGGGAGGTGTTGGGGCAATGCTGGGTTTTTAAATCTGGTTTAGGGGATGGTGATCTTTGTTTTTGTTCATTCCATTTTCATAGGGAGAAGGGGGAAACTGCAGGTGGTTATTATAAGATGGCTGCTTTCTAAGTTTTTCTTTTTGTCAATAGAATATCCGCAAGCATATGCACATACATATATGTCTGCATTGGCGTGGTTTCATTTTGCAGATATTATTTCATCTCATCTATTCTGTACTCTTTATTTCTTTTTGTTGCATCCTTTCTTCCTTTTGACCCGGATCTCGATCCTTGTTCAGAAACCAATGTAAATGGGAAAACGCCCTAGTGTCCGTCTCTATACCTATGGTAGCTACCTATCTAGGTAGCCATCCGTTACTTCTGATGGGAGGAGCTGGTGGACTGAAATCGTTTTGTCTTGTCTTATCAAGTATTTTATATACCCCATTAGAACAGGTTGCTTTGGTTAAATTTCTATCATAAAGCTAGGTTTAATTGAGGCACATATGATATACGCCCATTGTTTCTGGATAGCATCAATTCCTGAGATATTGGATGCCTTTTGGGCACGAGGCAATGGTAAGGGCACTCTGTTGGTGGAGGTAGGCACAATAGCTACAATGTGGGTATTTCCGGCGTACTGCGTAAAGTTACAGGATTATGGATTTAGATGGTTTTTTACTTCCCCTTTATATATATACGGGTTAGTTAACAGATATGGCTAGATGTAGCTGGTGGGTAGAAAAGAAAAGAAAGCGCTAGGAGAATGGGGTTCCCGTATCATCATATCCATATGCAAAAGTGAACACTTACAAATAAGCAGGGATACAGGCATTAAAAAGGACAGCTAAATAAACAGACTGTAAAGGAGCTATGAATCAGGAGACTCCGCGTCATATAATGGAACGTTAAAGGAGAAGGGGTGAAGAAAATCAGAGGAAAATAGAAGCTCCCGACGCCGATATGAGAGTTTATGAAGTAGGTAACTTAACATCGACGCACAGAAAACCCGGGTACAATAAAGTGGGAGGGAATAGGGATGATGCGAGATTCTGAAGGAAACGGGAAAGGTCTCTCCTCTCAGCCAAAAATAGAGTGTGAACCTTTTGCCCGAATGCATTTGGATAAGTTGGGCATGCGGATGCATTCAATTATTCTCATTCTCAATGAAAAATAATAAGTAAAGGAAGTGCATGCATTACATGGCCATCTCTGCGCGCAGTTTCGCCAGCTCTGCTTCCTCATCCTCTTCTTCCGTGGCTCTTTCTTTGCCTTTGACTGGAAGAACATTTTTGATATGTTAGTTTTCCTTTTTTATAACAAGATCATATAGGGGCGCCACATGACCGCAAGGGTAATGATAACTCACGTGGTCCATTTACGGCTGCTGGTAGGGTACCAAGCTGATCTGCAACTGGTACAGTTCCAGTTTTGAGCATTCTCTCGTCAATCTGTTCTTGTTCCATGCCCTCCAGTTCTGCTTCAAGCTCCATCTCGTCTAGCGGCTCGCCGATGGTGTTGTTTGTAATGGCGTTTACAATCTCCTCGTTGAGTGCATGTTGCTCTCGTAGTTGGTCCCTATTGGTCATATCATGTTAGCCCACCGCTGCCTTTGTCTCAAGATATGGGACGTATTATTGATGGCCAGGGAGATGATGGCAAGCGACATACATAGTCTCGTCCACTTTCTCGATAGTAAGTCCGCTGTGGATTTTTTTCATGGCATTTCCAGCATTCTTCATTGCGAGGAGGGTTTCTTGGTTGATATTTGCTGCCTCGATAGAGGATATTTGTTGTTCGATTTGGATAATCTGGGCGCTTGTTTGTTCAAGGGATCGTTCATGAGCTTTCTTCCGTCGCAAAGCAGCTTTGGCAGCTATATAAAAGAAAAGATATGACGTTAGTTACAACGACCACAGAAAGGACATTCCAGGTTAAACTTCTTTATGGAGCTGGGCAGTTACTGAGACCGGTTTTCTGCTGCCTTGACCTCTGAAGCGGGGTAGAACTGGGACTCTCCTAACAGACGTACCGTTTTTATTTGTAGTAACATGCTTCCGGGCTATAGCATCCTGTTCTGCCATTTGGTTTTCCAAATGTCTTTCTCTTTTCTGAAGCATGTCAAGTTGTTGGCGCAGGGCCAGGATGGCATTTTTGGGGGCATCCTTCCTCTGCTGAGCAGATCCGCCGCCAAACCACGACCACATAGTTACCGTCGGAGACTGGCCAGGAGACTGCAGAAATGTAACCAAGAAATGCAAAGGTCGAGGTTACGTAACGGCAGTTATAGGTACAACAAGGAGTCCGAGTTGGATGCGGGAGCGGCGATAGATATCAGCGTTGGCAAATGCGGGATGTCGGAAAGGATTAGGCGGACTGAAAACAAGCCGGGAGGTGATCCGGATGATGATCGTAGGGTGGGAGGTAACGGGATACGAAGGGAAGTAGTCTAAAGGAAGGACGGTGCAACTGAGAGGGTATTACGAGATATATGGCTATAGTGGTTCGTTGACGGCGTGATGATGAGATTTTTGGCTGGATGAGAGTTGGCTGCGATGGTGCATCTTTTGTTGGTGAGGCTCATTAACCACTATGACATCCAACCGCGGAAGCGTCACGTGTCCAACTTTAATTAAACATGCCCGCTTCCGCCCGATTAGTCAGCGGTTCCTTGAACGTCTCTGCTCCCGAAAGTTCCCTGATAGTAAAGTCTGCACCAAATCGTTGGTACTTACTTATATGCAACTAACTATCCAGACATATATACAGTGGGAAAAGCATGTCCACTAAATTTTATCCTTTTTACGTATAAATATGGCATACAATAACGTCAATTTTTGTTTGTTCCTTATATCATGAGCCAATGCCCGGGCCCTCTCCCTACAACGCGGGCGTTTCTCTCTGAAATTTCAGGATTCCCAGCAGGTTCAAAAGTCCGCTTCCTTGGCTGGTGAGTTTCGATAGCACGAAGTGTCGTCGTTAGTTAAAGGTTGTGGTGCAGAAATACATATAGCATTTAGAACATCAAATGATAAATATATGTCTATTGATTCATTTTTAAAAAACTAATATCATGCCCCAGCGTTTCTTCCTACAACACTTCAACCGGCCATCTTACTCTCGAGCATAACTATCCGTTTACATCGGGCGCCATCCCCTCCATTTTTGTGGACGTAACTGTACTTCTGGGGTCTCTCAAAGCCACCGATCTGCAGGTCGGCGCTTGGCTAAATGTACTGGGCTACGTAAGGGAACGATTGTCATCAAGGACGACAGCGAGTTCGTTGAACGGCACTCAGTCAACAGCCAGCGGAACTGGCAGGCCGATATACGTTCAGGCCGTGATGGTTTTCTCTGCCGATGCTGTGCATCTTGGGGAGTATGAGCGTGTGCTCCAGGATTGGGAAGATGCGGATAGGAGGGTGAAAAGGCCAGATTAAGCGGCTCTGGATTCAATTCGAAAGCGGTGAGATGTGTTGATGTCTGACTCGTTTCTTCTGGATGGCAAACCCAAAAGATTCCACTGCATTGTTCTAATGGAATCATTTCCCCCTTGAGAGTCACTATAACTCGTGCCATCGTAACATTGACACGCATTCGGGTTCATCGACCATACCCAGGTCCCAACTCCCGAAAAAGGGCATATTTGGGCAGAGATTTCTTTTCTCCCCAGCAGGCTAAGAGTCTACCAGCGTATATTATCAAGTGTTACACAATGAATGAACATTCGAAATAATACTGCAGGATTGTTGGACCTACGTGAAAGTTCTGAACCAGTTAGATCGGAGAGAAGCAAACGTGGATGGAGAAGTCAATGCAAGGTTCGAAAGGGTGGAGCTATTCTAAGAAGCATGTTATATGTTGCGGTTTATCTTTTCTTCTGTCTAATGTTTTCCCGTTCGTATGCAACCAAATAAATCTCCAAATGAACCTGAAAACCATGTGCCCCGAACACGCATTGACGCAATTTGCCTATGTGCGAATAGATTTAGGGTCTTGGCGGAATATGAAGAAAATAAACAACTGAATGAGAAGAGCGCTCACAAAACTGTATAAACAAAACGCCATGTATGATGCAAACGTGATAGCTAAATGGTCTAATTATTATCAGGTTTTTGATTTTAAAAAATCCTTCAGATGCGCGAAACCAATGGAAGGAATGAAACTTCCTCGTTACCCAAACCCAAGGAAAATAAACAGGGCATCCAAGCCATGGAACATAAAGGGGACTGAATTTCAAACCTCTTCTTTATGCACTAACACCCCTCCTCCACCGTCCTTCTCCGCCTCCTCTCTATTTTGGTTCTTCCCAATGTTTGCATCTCTTGTCCTCCTCTTGCCATCCAGCTTCCTCTTATCTTCCTGCATCGTCCTTATCAACGCACTCTTCATCCGAATCTTATACCCGTATTTGTAAAACACGAACGGAATTGGAATTATCATAACTTCCAGCAGTCCCAAGAGAGTACCAGCCCAATTGGGCCCTATTTTCTTGTAAAGTGCCGGCCCGACAAGCGGAAGCACACCACCAAGAGTACTTCTTATGACGGAATTGCCTGCC